GTGTCTCCAGGAGGCAGTAATATAATTGGTCACGCCAGGATGGTGACAAGTGAGAAGTTTTTATGGAAAGCATTGTCCAAGAGCAAGTACTCTGTCCGGTAGAATTATAAGTGCAACTGAGCAGTGAGAAATAAGTGTCAGGCTGCAGATGGCCCTGGGTAGCAGGCTCACTTCCGCTGGAGATAAGCGCTCAGCTGAAGCAAGTCTGAGCTTTTCGTCCAGAGAGGGAGGGAGAAGGCCCCATATCTGGCATCTCCCGGGGACCGGCCTTGCTCAGGCCCGATGGGCAGGATCTCAGTGACCCTTGGATCGGCCTACGAGGTGGCCATCAGGATCCCCGCATAGTGAAGATGCCCACACCCTTATTCTTTACAGTTTGATGCAGACGATCAGCCTGTTGCCTTCTCAACTGGGTGTGGGTGTGGCTCGCAGTGTCAGACCCACCATGCCTAGGGGAGATATCTGGCCAAGGATGACCAACATGTACAGTGAATGCTTAAATTTAAAACATTTATTGTAGTAAAAGGCTCACTGCCACTAATCCCCCTCTAAATTGCCCCTTGCTTCAAACGCACCCATCCTATCGTTCCTGCCACTTTCTGGAGCAGGTCTGGCGTCCTCTTTCAGATTTATGAGATATGATAAAAACTTACAGTGAGTGCTGCTGCCCACCGCGTCCAACAGAAAGCCGAGGGCAGCTCGTAAAAACACGACGCTGGGTCCTCATCCTGACGTACTCACCAGGTGCGGCACTGTGTGACTTCTGGCTCTTCCTCAAAGTCAAAATGACCACGAAAGGGAGACGTCGTGGACCTACTCAGCATACCATACCGAGGCAGCCAGGACAGGGACCCTCGGGAAAGGGCCCCGCTGCTACAGAGCGGCAAGGACTGGTGGGTGTGCCTGAAGCGAGGGAGGATTTTCAGAGGGACTCACAACACTGTCTTTACTGTGATACAATTTTTAAAAGAGTAAGCTTTCACCGTAGTTTCCATCACACCGTGCATACCTCAGAGGGTCTGAGCAACAGGGGGACCCATCTTCATCTTCGGCGCGTGAAGGGCACGGAGAGGCGGGAGAGGCGAGGGAGGCGGACGCAGCGAAGGACACGCACGAGTACCAGCTCCCCACGAGGGGTCCAGTCGCTGTGTACTGCAAGCTGAAACCCAGAATATTCCCCAGCCAGTAATCGCCGAGGTCGCTCCTGGAGCCCACACAGTTTCCAGGCAGCTGCCGGGCGCGGACTCTGGAGCTGGAAACCAGCCCGCAGCAGGCAGCCCTGGGCAGGCGCGCCCCGCCCACTCGCACGGGATTGGCCACCGGCCGAGGGGCGGGGCCTGTCAATCGAGGGCGCTGGGCTCGCAGTCGAGGGGGCAGGACCTGCCTCCGGTGGGCGGGGCCTGGCGGCAGGGGCGGGGACTGCTTGCGTGGAGCGGGCCGTGGAGCCCCGCGTCCCGCCGGCCGCGCCCGCGCGGAGCCTGCAGACTCGCACCCGCTCCCAGGCATGCTGCTGCGGGGCGGCCCGGCGCTGCGGCGCTTCTCCACTGGCCGGGTGAGTGCGCGGCCCGCGCCCCGCGCCCCGCGCCGCCCCCAGGTCGGTGGGCGGGCCGTGGGGACCGGGCCCCGGTCCCGGGTGAGAGCTGCCACGCAGCCTGTTGTCTTGCCCGGATCCCGTTGATCCGGCGCGGGCGGGGCAGCGCGGTGGGGCCGTCGGTCTCCGGGCCGCTGGTGTCCGCCGTGGGGCTGCGTGGCGCGGGGCGTCGCGATCGCGGCCCGGGTTGCATCAGCGGCTCCGCACAGCCCGAGCCTTCACGCTGCCCGGCTCAGCGTCGCGGCCTGGCGGGAGCTCAGCGGGCGCAGCCGGCTGCGGGCTGTTCAGGCACAACCGCACCCCGGAGGGGAGGGCGCCGGGCTGTGGGGCTCCTGTGGCACCGGTCTCCTCCGCCCAGGTACAGATAGTGAACGTGCACACGTGAAGAGTGGGGACGCGAGTGGCTCCGGGAACTGCCCCGCCCTCGCCTGGACACTAACGCTCTTGTGCCTCAGGTAACCCCAAGCCCTGAGAGTTCGTTTCCCTTCTCAGTTCTAGTGACTTTGCTCACACAGTTTGTAAAGCGAGACGGAAGAGCCCGCTCAGCGTCTCCCACCCCGGCCCCAGGCCCGGCCCTGTGCTGCCCGTGGGTGTCCTCCCCTGCGGACCCGCAGCCAGCAAGGCTTGTCTTTTTTGGAGAGCAGAAGGGAGGTTCTACAGAGGGGTTCCCATGCTTCTCAGCAGCAAAAGGGGAACATCTCAGGGGCAAGTGACATCACGGAAACCCCGAGTCTCACTGTCCGGGGTAGACGCAGAAAGGTGGCTCCGTGCTGTCTGAAAGAAGGCAGGGTCCCCTGGCCCAGGAAGATGTTATGACGGACTGTGGGATGGGCTCTGTCCTGGGCTCTGTGTTCCGGAGGAATTACTTAAAACCTAAGCATACGTGGCTGCTGGGCAGATAAAGCAACAGCCATAGCGGAAGCTGGCAGGCCTACTGAGTTAATGACAGACTCACAGACTGCCCGGCCCGGCTCTCGCACTCCTGCGTATTTACCCGAGAGAAGTGAACTTCAGTTTCCACAACGACCTGTTGCCAAGGGTTTAGAGGGCTTGGTTCCTAACCATCAAAAATCTGGAAAGGACGTCACTGCGTTCAGCTGGGGGCAGGATAAACAAGCTGGGATTTATGTAGGCAGAGTGGGGGGGGGGGATTGAACTATAGGCGCCGGGAGGTCGATGAAACTCAACACCATTGTTGTATTAAAGGTAAGGAGCCAGACTCACAAAGCAGTGTATCTTACGATTTCATTTATCTGACATTTTAGAAAGGGTAATGCTATAGGGATGGAAAAAAAGATCAACTGTGGTCAGGAGCTGGGGATGGGAGGAGGGAGGGACTGTTGATGAGCATAAAGAAGTGTGGGGGAACAGAACCCCCCATCTCTTGATTCTGGCAGTGGTTACGTGACCTTGCGGACACTTGCAGAACTGCACACTGACAAGGGTGTATGTTCCTGTGTCTGTGTTTTATGTGTCTTAGTTGGTTTACTGTGGCTGTAACAAAGTATCTGAAGCTGGATGCTTTATAAAGAAAAGAAGTTACTTTAACTCATAGTCTGGGCTCTGTTCTGTGCTGGCATGGTCCCGTGGCAGGTGACATCCTGTGGTTCGAGCACCTTCAGAGTGCTTAGCAGTGATGCAGAAGAGGTCTCAAGGGAAGGGCCAGGCTCCCTTAGAACAGCCTGTTCTTGCAGGAACTAATCAAGCTCAGCACTTGCATTAATCTCTCCCAGCAGAGGTGCCCCCAGGACCTAACTACGTTGCCCCACCTCCCCAAGGTGCTACCTCCTCAACTCTGCACCCCTGGGACCAGGTCCCCAGCAGACCTTTGGAGGACAAACTCAAATCATACCAAAACCATCACGATCTTCCCTTTAAAAAGTGAAAAACCAAGTCAGGCAAATTGTAGTCCCAGCTACTTAGGAGTTGGAGGCAGGAGGGTTGCAAGTTAAAAGCTAGTCTGGGCAACTTAGCAAGATGCTGTCTCAAAATTTAAAAAATAGTAAGGGTTGTGGGTGTTCCTCAGTGGTGGAGAGCCCCAGGGTTGAGTGCCCAGTACCACCCCCAAAAAAGTCCAACACTGCTCTTAAGTTTTATACTAAAAAGAATAAAAGATAAACTAAAAAAATCAGAACCTAGCAAGACCCACAAAGAAATTAATTTGTAACACTTCCTAAAACAATTTTTTATCTGCTATCTTAAAGAATGGACTTGGAAAAATATTTGATGATTTCAGCCTTGGGGTGTGGCTAGGTCTTCTCACCTAGAACAACCAGCTTTTACAAACCCTTCAGCAGGCTGGGCTGTAGCTCAGTGGTAGAGCACTCGCCTAGCACAGCTAGTCTGTTCTTTGGACCTCTAAATTCTACGTCAAACAATTCTTAATGGTGATGTCTGAACATTCTGCCTAAACCCTGAGGACTTAATATTAATAGAACTGATGCTGTTTAGCTTTACCAATATACCTAATATAGTCCTTTAGTCCTTGCAACATTCATTGATGCATTACGATTTTCATGCCCATTTTATAGATAAAGAAACTCAAGACTCAGAAAACTTGTGACTTTTTCAGTCTTACTGCCAAAAAGGGTAAAATGATAAAAAAAGAAATAGTTTCTGCTTGCAAGGTGTCCAGATTGTTTTTAGGTGGAGAACAATAAATAATACATAATACCATGAATAAGACAGTACACAAAAAAAGGACATGTTAATGGCAAATCAAACAGGAAAATACCCTCAACCAAACTTATAGTCATGGAAATATAACAAGATATCATTTTACACTCGAGTGTGACAGTATTGGGTGTTTTCAGGGGAGAGGAAATAGTTCCTCAAGCACACTAGTGTGATGATCTCCGTAAGATTTAAGTTTAAAAATGATCCTGGCATCTGAGAAGCCAGCCTCCCACATTGGCACAGGAAGCAGGCACGAGGATTTCCTTTGCCATAGCATGTGTAATAATGACATTAAATGCCAGAATGTCCCTTGGTAGAGAAATGTCCAGAGTGTGACATAGCCGCACAATGGATCTTGTGTGACAGTTTTAAAGAGCATCTTGGCGCTCATGAGGAGAGCTGTAGAACATTACACATCACTAGTTCACATGTGTTTTTAAAACATAACATCATACTTTGTGTATTTTTCGTGTATGTAAGTGGAAAAGCGTACAGGGTGCACCCCCAACTGAACCATAGCAGTTTTCTCTGGGGAGGGTGGTGAGAATCTGAGTGTGGGGTGCTGGCCAAAGGGGACTGTGGTCTTTGCGACCTTTTCTTTTTAAATAAGGAGGATACATATGTATATGTTTATGTTTAGGTATAATTGAAATGAATTTTAAATTTCCATGCAATGAAAGTATCTTAGGTCAGTGCTGTGCCCCAAGTCCTGCCTCTCTAGCAGGTTCTAGCACGGGTCTCTGGCCCTTTCCTGGAGTCTTTGGAATGTTCCTGGTTCTCCACACCACCCCAGGAGCTCTCTCTAGCTCCCAGTCCCTTTCCGCCTCCCCTGCTATAGGTCCCTATATTGACAGCATCTTTTAAGTATCTTTTATGCTTTATACAATTAAAAAATTATTGGGGCTGGGGTGTAGCTCAGTGGGAGTGCTTCCTCGCATGAGAGGCCCAGGGTTCCATTCCCAGGACTGGATAGAAAAGCTGGCCTGGCAGCCAAGAAAGCCGCATTTCCCCTCTCTGGGGAATGATGCAACAGAACGGCCTCGTTGCTCCAGGACGGCAGTGCCCTGAGCCTTGGCTGAGTCTGGCACAGATTCACCTGGATGTGAAGCGCAGCGTGTTGCTTCTGACTGTGTGGATCCCAATCTGTCCTGCTGAGCAGTGTGGCTTTTACTCCACCCAGGCCGATCCAATCCCAGGAGCATCCTGGGGGCTGGTGAGTCAGCCTGTGCTTCCACCAGGCAGCTCAGCTCGCACAGTGCCGTGGGCTGGGCACTCACAGAGCCCAGCCGGCATGGCTGTCCTGCGCAGAGTGGCTCGGTGATGCCACTGGCATCACAATGAGATCCCAGTTATTTGACACAGAGGCCCTGCACAAGGCCTCTCTCTAGAGTCCCGGGCCGGGACACATGATGCCTACTTGTCTGTTTCTGCAGCTTCTCAAGGCTTTCCAGGATCCCTTCCCTTTTCCTGGCCGGCTCCCAGGCACATCCTCTGGATTCAGCTGAGGAATCCTGTCCCAGGCAAGCCCTTCCCTGTCCAGCCTCCCTGTGCCCGGTTGGCCCAGCGCCGAGTCACTAGCATCTCACTCCCACAGAAGTGCCAAATTCCTGTGGCAGGAACCACTTGGTACTTCCGGTGTGGGATTCCCAGGGGCAATGCCCGCAGGGGACAGCTGGGCAGGACAGCTGGGGGCTGGAGGCCAGACTGAGTGAAGGACCAGGCCACTACTCAGCTCCACCTTGTGCTGCTGTGTGGGAAGCCACAGACCTGATTTTTCAAGAGAACTCAGAAATTGAGCCTGCTTGGGGGGGAGAGGGGTAGCGATACTGAGAACTGAACCCAGAGCCTTGCCACTGAGCTGTATCCCCAGCCATTAATTTTTTATTTTGAGACAGAGCCTCCCTAAGTTGCCCAGGCAGGACTCAAACTAGTGATCTTCCTGGCTCAGCCTCCCAGAGCACTAGGATCACAGACATGCACCTCTGTGGTGGCCCAGTGTGACAGAGCCCACACGGTTCTCTCAGGGTGACATCTTCATCACAAAGAGCTTCAGAGCAGGGCAAACCGAGCACAGGCATGTAACTGTCCTGGGGAGATGAGCCTCTGCCGGGATCTCAGTACTTGGGGTGGAGTCCACATTGACTTGCTTCCTGAAGGGTCCACCGAGGGCAGCTAGCCTGAGGATACAAAAGCGAAGCCTGCAAAGGGCTCGGCCAATGCAGAAGTTGTGTCTAGAGAATTGGAAATGCGCTGCTTCCCCTGGCAGGGCCACCAGCTTCCCTCAGCAGCTGTTCCCAGAGCTGCACAGCTGGCCCGGCAGACTGCCGCCACATTTCCTCCTTTTGCAAAAGGGAAAGGACAAGGTGAGCATGGTGACGTGTACCTCCTTAGGAGTCCCAGCTTCTCTGGAGGCTGAGGCAGGAGGGTCGTTTGAGCCCAGGAGCTTGGAGCCAGTGTGGGCAACATAGGGAGACCCCATCTCTTATTAAAAGAGTTGGGGGAGGACTTTCAACCTAGGAGAGCCAGCGATGCCCAGCCACTGGTTAAGAGACACCCTGCCCATACTGCCCCTGACTGGCTCTGTCCTTGTCCTCAGGCAGGTTCCTTCATTTCCCTCTGTTCTGTTTTCTCATTTGTAAAGAGGATTACTGTGAGAACTAAAGACCTATAATGAACATTTGATACATACTTCCTGAATTATTAAAAGGGCTCAGAAAGTCAATACTGTAGCTGTCATCCCAGCATTCTGGGAGGCTGAGGCAGGAGGATCACAAGTTAGAGCCCAGCCAGGGCAATTCGGTACGAGACCCTGTCTCAGAATAAAAAGGGCTCAGTGTAAAGGGCTTGGGTCCAGTGGTTCAATCCCCAGCACTGGAAAGGAAGGAAGGAAAAAAGAAAGAAGAACAATCAAATGTCACATGTTTTCTCTTGTATGTGGAACCTGAGAGAGAGAGAGAAAGGGAAAGCGTTAGAGAAGAGAAAGTGTTAGAGAAGAAGGGAACGAGGTGCATGGAGGGAGGGGCGGGGAGAATGCCGGACGGTGGGCATGCCCCTCGGTCCCTCGGTCCCTCGGCTCCTCCTCTACACGAGCACCAACACACCCACGCCCACGCGAGGCCCACAGTTCAGTGGACCGGATGTGCGCTACTGGGAAGGAGCAGATGTTCAATGTACATGCTGTGCTGAGAAAGCCACACACGGCCTCGGCTGGGCTCGAAGGACCCTCCCAGCACCTGTGTTTATCTACCTGTCGCCCGTGGAGAGCGACAGCAGCAGGAGCCAGCGTCCACTGAGCCCGTGCGGTGGCACCACGTGCGCACACTCCTCGCCCCCAGGCCTCACGCCGGCCTGAGGACAGGCTCTGAACGAGGGAGGACGAAGCCCAGCTCCGGATGGGACCGTGGGACTGACGCCCGGGGTGACCCTGAGCAGAGCGCAGGCCTGAGCTCCTGCGGGCGGAAGGGCCCTGTGCGCTCACTCCTGCCCGTCAGAGGCAGCGTGAGTGACTGACGGCCGGGCGCCAGGCCCCGGGCAGTGCATGAAATACCTGGCAGTGTTTGCTGTTATTTCCACACCGGGTTCGGGTTCGGTTCGGCACCTCCTAGAAGGAGGAAAAGGAAGCAGAAACTCCCGAAGCTTCGGCTTTCACATGAAGCCCAGAACGTGATTTAAGGGGTGGCGTAGTTCCAAAATTGCTCACGTGGTTCTGTTTTGGTTAGCTCGTGTTTGCAGCACGGAATGATTATGCTGGAGGGGGGCACCTGCGTCACACCACCAATTCTTCCTTCACCCTCTGCCCCTCCTCTCCGGCTCCCTCCCTCCCTCTGTTGATCCCTTTCTATTTGCAAAAGATCTATCTCCCCACTTCTTATTGTCCATTCTTCTTTTTTTCTCTTTACATTATTTATACTTTGAGTTTCTCATATGAGAGAAACCTTTCGATATTTAAGCTTGTGTGTCTGATTTATTTCACTGAACACTATGGTTTCAAGGTGCATCCATTTTCCTACAGCTGACTCCAGTGTATCCTTCCTTATGGCAGAGTAGTACTCCATTGTGTATAGCCCTTCATCTACTAATGGACACATAGGCCACTTCCAAGACTGAGCTGAACCCCAGAAGGCCAAGTAGCAGTGGAGAAGCGCATTCTGCTGGAGTTGGTGCCTTCTCCTGGCTTGTGCACGTTTTGAAAGAGGATTTCACATGTGCACAAATATCCAGCAGTGATACACAGGAACCCAGGCTTTTTGTCAGATGGCCAACATGCGGATTGTGTTTCAAGCAGCAGCATGAACTCAGAGGCAGAGAGGGAAGGGTTCTGGGGCATTCTGACTTTTTTTTTTCCTATTTATTTATTTATTTATTTATTTGGAACCAGGAATCAAACTCGGGTCCTTGGGCTTGCGCAGCAGGTGGCGAAACCACTGAGCTAAATCCCCAGCTGGGGCATTCTGACTTGTGAAGGGAGGGGAATCAGTGGTGTGCCGTGCACTATCTGAAGGTGGTTTGTTGATGTCCCAGAGTGAGTCTCCTTTTGTGAGAGTATTGTTAGATGTTGAAGCTTCATTGGCTCTTTGGGGAGAGAGACGCTGGCTGACGGGAAAAGGACTTTTAAAACTGAAACCCTAATTGTTTAATTATCAGCTCCATTAAAGAGAAGTTTCGATTGGGTACCCTTTTAAGGGACGTTATCCAGCCCCTTAAGAAGAGAGAAACACGGGAAAATTGGGTTTCTTTCTTGCCAGGTTGTCACAGGCAGTGTTCGCTCATTCCAGAACATTCTGGAATCCCATTCAGACTGCAGTGGAACAAAATGCAGTTTGCGTCCATATCCTGAGGAGCGCATTCTACATTGGAAGAGCGGGGTTGCACACTGATGAAAGAGGGAAGACAGTCTCAGTGCTTTGATGACCCCCACCCAGGGCCCTGAACCTCCTTTATCGCTGACTCCCATTGTGGTCCTCAGGGTCCCCAGGCCCATGGTGACCAAAGAGGTTCCTCTGCTGGGCTTGGCATGCATGCCTGTAATCCTAGCACTCAGGAGGCTGAGGCAGGAGGATCACTGTGAGTTCAAGGCCAGCCTGGGCTACATAGTGAGACCCTGTCTTGAAAAACAATAAACAAAAGAAACAGAAAAAGTCCTATAAACTTTAACCCCTACAGTGCCTCTCTTGTCTGTGGTGTTGCTATTTCCTGACTGCCGTCATGTGTCTCCATGTTAATCACAAAGCAGATGGAAGAGGTGGCTGCTGATGATTCACTTTATTTGTCTCTGAGTTCACAGTCAGGGGGACCTCACTCTCCTCCTTTGCAGGCCCGTGACTATGGATATGCACTTGACATTTCTAAGCCTCAGTTTCTTCCACCATTAGATGGGTGAAATACAGGAAGAGGAAACAGCATAGTTGTGAGGATTCTACAAAATGAAATGATACACAGGCCCCTATCCATTATACAAAAATTTTGAGGCCAAATGTGTTACAGAAGTATTTACAATGTGTTCAGAGTTATTTATATTTGGGAAAGATAATACATACAGGTAGCACTTTATATAAAATTCCTAGCATGCCATGGAGAAGGACCTGCAGCATTGACTTTTCCTGCAGCAAACAGCACTGTTGCCGTGGTCTTCATAAATGACTATCAATAGCACACTGTCAGTTCAGGTCACATTTGAAACCAAATAAGCTGGAGCCAAATTTGTTTTGAGACAGGGTCTCCTGTAGTTCAGGCTAGCCTTGAACTCTGTGCAGCCCACGATGGCCTTGAACTCCAGATGATCCTCCTGCCTCAGCCTCCCGAGTGCTGGGATTACAGGCATGCACACCATGACAGGCAGTTTGTGGCAGATTTAGAAGAAGCCTGTGAGAGCGTTACATTAAGCCAAGCGAGGTACCAAAAGGTGTTTGAATTCTAGGCTTTAGAATTTTGGAAGCACGGAACAGAGTGTAGTGTATAGCAAGACCTTTAAAACAGTATACAGCTTCTGTTTAATCATTACCGTTCATCACACACCGTGCAATCTTAGTGGATCTTAAGTCATTAACTTCAATCAAAATTCCTTCAGGTTGATATTATTATCGTTGCTATTTTACAAAATGGGGGGAAACGTGAGCGAGCAGAACTTAGTACTCGCTTCGGCCACGTGACTCAGCTGTGGCCCTGGGTTTTGGCCCCAGGTGCCTGGCTCTTGGGCCTGTGCTTCCCACCCGAACGCGCTACTGATTGTCAGACCACAGCTTCCTCGGGAGGTCAGAGCAGAGTCCCGTTCTAATTTCTACCTTGCAGGGGCGAAAAGCACCGTCTCAGGCTGAGGCCGCTCAGCCCTCACTGCGACACTGACTGGTTTGTATCCGGCCTTATTTCACTGAGGGTTGGGCTGCAATTCCAGGGACTAAGTGGATAACCAAGGCCCTGGAGGGCAGAATGAGCCGCTCTTAGGGACGAGGTTACTCCTGTTACCGTGTGTGTGCGACGCCGGCTGTGTTCGGTGTGTGTCCGTGACAGTTATGTTTTGTAGCTCTTTAGCCTTTTGTGGCCACAAGTCATCTGGGCTGATTGTAAAGTTCGTTTGTTAGCCAGCGCCTCCTGAATGTATTCATGCGCCATCACTGAATGTTTTCCCAGGTTTACTTCAAAAACAAGCTGAAGTTGGCCCTCATCGGCCAGAGCCTCTTCGGACAGCACGTTTACAGCCATCTCCGCAAAGAGGGCCACCAAGTCGTGGGGGTGTTCACGGTTCCAGACAAGGACGGAAGGGCCGACCCCCTGGGTGAGAGCATCTCAGCGACAACTGACGTGGCCACTGTATATTTCCTCACAATGTGCACGCCCTTTACCTGTGATTTTGCTGTTGTCTAGGCAGGGCTTCCATCTCATGGCCCAAAGCGGTTGCCTCAGCCCCAGCAGTTAGGTCTGCATCCCAACAAGCAGGGTAGAGAAGAGGGAAGTAAGGGAAAACCCTCTACTTGTACATATTACACATATTGGTGCCATTCATATCCCATCTATTTGCAGGAGAAGCTAAGAAATAGAGATTTTTAAAGGGGGGTGGGTGGCTAAACTAGGGGAACCCTTTGCTAGAAGACGAAGGGGATATCTAATAGTCTGCTGTGACATGGATTTCAGAATTGCAAGCGTGTGAATTTTTTGTTTGTTGTTTTTGTTGTTTATTTGGTTTTTTTGGTACCGGGGATCGAACTCCGGTCCTTGTGCTTGGGCAGCAGGCGGCAAAACCACTGAGCTAAATCTCTGGCCCAAAGCAAGAGTGTGAATTTTAGACCTCACTTCAGCATGCATCCTAGGAAATGAACACTTTTTGGTGCCTGGACCCAGGGTCTGGATCCCCTCTCTGCTGGTCTGGGCCATTCGGAGTCATGACCTACCTGAGAAAAGAGAGAGAAGTGAGCTGGCTTCTGCTCTGGGCTGGGCGGGGGCCCGGGTGTGCTGTGTTCTGCAGCCGAGAATTAATCCTGACTGCCACCTGTGAGCCCTGAGCCCGGACACTTCAGTCCCACTTCACTTCCATGGAGCCTGGCTCAGTGGCTGCCGTGGGCAGGGAGTGGCTCAGACACACGGGGTCCTGGCACTGCACGGGCCCATGACAATCAGGGTGACAGCGGCTGACTGCTCTTTGGGATCATAGGCTGGGGAAGCCAGAAATAGCCTGGGACAGCTGGAAACCAAACCAGGAGAGGAACACACTGCCCCTGCAGCCTGTGTCACGGAAGTGTTTTACACAGAGGAGCCACCTGTCTCCTCCACCCTCCTTCCCTTTCCCATAAAACCTTCCCGCAGTCTTCTCCCATTAGTACATTTTAAGCACTGTGGATACATTTTCCTGTCGTGTGTATAACGTGTGTTATGTTTCCCGGACATCTGTGAACATTCTCATTTCATGAATGCCATTAGGTAGGTGTCTGCAGTTCTCCTGAGTGCATTGGTCAGGGCCTGACCTGGAGGGCCAGAGGCCTTCAGGACTTACTTGAGCCAAAGAACTTAGGTTCTAAGTGGCAGAGGAATCATTGTCCTGAGTCCATGAGTGCTGATGATTGGATGGGGGAGTGGGCAAAGGGGACCAAACAGTGCAGGTGCAAAGCTCTGGTGAGGGTTACTGGAAATGGGCACTGTCCAAATGGCAGAGAGCAGCACCCCCTGCTGCGGGAGCCACGATACCCAATGCTGGTGGCCTAATGGCTCTGCCTGGCGGGGGTGGGCATCACCTTCCGGGCCATTCACAGGGTGGCACACAGAAATCGATTGGGAGGTCTACCTGCCCAGGTAGAAGGCGTCGTTAATGGTGCACACAGCTACACACAGCTGCAGGGCGACGCTTTCCACCCCGCTGGCTTTGTATCCCTCTTCATGGGGCTGAACACGCACTGGCCGGTTACCGACATCGCATGGCCCAGGGCACCTTCACTGTGCTCTACCTGCCACACTGCTCCTTGTTTTCTTGATCTACCACTGGAACTGCAGGTACCCTCTTCATCTTTTTCTCCATGTGCTGTGCCTCTTCCCGTGTCCACTCCATCTTTGTGCTGCGGCTCCTCAATGACACCATGGCCATGGCGCTGCTCCTCCTCAGTATCAACCTCTTCCTGCCCGGTGCTGGGGCTGGGGCAGCTGCTTTTTCAGCCTGGGGTCTCTGTGAAGACGAATGTGCTGCTGTCCACCCCTGAGTTCTTGTTCCTTCTCCTCACACAGTTTGGCTTCCATGGTGCCCTCCCCAAGCTGGGCATCTGCTGTCCTTCAGGTGGCGCTGGGTCTGCCCTTCCTGGTGGAGAACCTGCTGCTTCCAGTTTCTCTTTTGGTGCACAGTGTACTGTCACTCCCGGGAGGTGCTCTTCCTGCACCACGCCTTCCGCCTGGCTCTGCTGGCTGCCCACCTCCCCCTGCTCTTGCGGTTTGCCCTCTGCAGGTGGCACAGGATGGGAGAAAGCACCCCATCACTGCTGAAGGATCCCTGTAAGGAAGGCCCCCAGCCTCTCACACGTATCGTTTCCACCCTCTTCACCTCCAACTCCACTAGCATCTGCTTCAGCTGCTGCCAGCACTACCGGTTCTACTGTACTTCCAGACCCTGCCCTACCTCCTGGGGCCACTGCAGGCCACCTCACACCTGCGCAGGTTGCTGGTGCTCACGATCACTGAGCCCTCCTAGAATACACCCGTCCACATCCTGCACGTGTGCCATGTGTCACCCTGCTGCAGCTCTGGCTGGGCCTCAGCCTTCCCCATGAGTCTCCACCATGCCAGGACCACCGAGGTCCTCGCTTGCCTCCAGTCCACGCAGGACCTGGGGAATGGACCCTGCCCTTCGGAATCAACCTTGCCACATGCAATAAAAAAAAAAGGTTGCTGGAAATGGCCCAGAGATAATGCATATACTCTATGATATAATATAGTATGCGATAGTATACATAAGAATATCTTTACTATTAAAATAGATATTTAAATAGTAATATATGAATACGGTATATTTAATACAGTATCAAATATTTATATGTATTATGTTTATATATAATAGCACTTACCAATATAATAGTATATATCCATAAATAATAGTATTAAATATAATATTCATATATCCTACTTAGATAAATACAAGTATGATAAAATATGGTGAATGTTTAAAATAAAAATAATGGGCCGGGGATTTAGTTCAGTGGTTCTGCCGCCTGCCTCTCAAGCACAAGGACCCGAGTTTGACCCCCGGTACCAAAAAAACAAAACAAAAACAAACAAAACATAAAATAAAAATAATTATTACAATAAGAGACATATTGACATTAACGCCCCTCCAAATGCTACCGTTCGCTCTGAGCACTCTCACTATTCCTGCCACCCTGCAGCAGCTCTGGAGTCCTCTCTCCTGAGTGTTTTTAGTTGCGCTGTCCTGGCCACCTCGATCTCCAGAATGGATTCAAACCTTTCAGCTTTCATGGTCATTTTAACTATGAGGAAGAGGCAGAAGAGCACCGTGCCAGATCCCATGAATAAGGGGGATGAGGACACTGTCACATTTGTGTTTGACAGAAATTGCCATAAATATTTTGAATCAATTCAGGAAATCAAGCCAGCCGTGAAGAGGCACAAAAGAGGCTTCCAGAATTGCTTCAGAGAGTGGCAAGAACGTTGAGCTAAGTGTGTTGGAAGTGAGGGGGTTCATGGCAATGCATCTTCTACTGTAATAAATTAAAAATAAAATGCCACGTATTCACTGTATTTTTGTCATACCTGAGATATACTTAAATAAACATACGCTGAGCATCTGTGGGGCGCAGTAAGGTGATGTCTTCTCATGGGGAAGACAGGCTGTGGTTGTCCGTCGAACTCATTCCATTCTTGCAGTGGGGACAGAGTCCCTCGTCTGGCAGGGGCTGTGCTTCCCTCAGGAGGGAGACGTGTGGTGCTCCCGTCTGACAAAACTTTACAGACAGTAGCATGTTTATTCTCCATTTCCAGCCTCTGTCATTGCCCACTTTATCTTCTCTTGAATGTGGAAGTAGGTGGAAGGGCTCAGCTCTTTGGGATCCCCCTCTTGGCAGGAAGAGAGGGTAGCCAGAGACCTAAGGTTTTCCAACCATGCTGGAGGCTGAGAATGTTTAACTTGGGGGTGAGGTGCTGCTATTTGCTCCAAATCGAAGGCCATGTTCTTTAAGGGCTTGTATCAGGGATTAAGGTATCTGGTTTTCTTTCTTTTTTTTGGATACCAGGGATCGAACTCCAGACCTTGCACTTTCAAGGCAGGCGGCGGAACCACTGAGATAAATCTTCCGCCCCACTGTTTTTTTTCTTACGGTGCTGGGGTTGAAACCCACACACTCTACCACTGAGTTACATCCCCAGCCTTAAGGACACCATTTTTGATCTAAGAAAAAGCTCGCCGCCTACCTCGAAAGCACCAGGTCCTGAGTTCGATCCCCAGTACCAAAAAAAACCAAACCAAAACAAAAGAAAGACAAAGCAGTTAAAATCTCAAAATATTATCTAGCCACAAGTGTTTGAGTTCAAATCTATTTTCATTATATAGATAAACTGGGAGAGGTGGCACATGCCTGTAATCCCAGCAGTTGAGAAGTTGAGGCAGGAGGATTGCAAATGTAAGATCAGCTTGGGCTACAAGGCAAGTTCAAGGCCAGCCTGTACAACATAGTGAGACCCTGTCTCCAATATATATATGTATACATATATACATATATATACATATATATACATATATACACATATATACACATATATATACATATATACACACATATATATATACATATATATATATGTATATATATATGTATGCTTCAGTGTTGTCTTAGTTACTTTTCTCATTGCTGGAACAAAATACCTGACACCCAGAGTTAAAACAGGGAAGGTTTATTTAGCTCACAGTTGCAGAGGCTTCAGTTCATAGTCAGCTGAGAATCAGTTCATGATGGGCAAAAGGCAGCGAGCCAAAAGCATCAAGTGGCAACAACAGCTTCTTTCTATCTACTTATATTCTATCTAGGCTACCTGCCTTTAGGGTGGGTAGCACTCACACTGAGAACTATGCCAAATCAATTAGTGGACTAATTTAGTAATCACACATCCTTAATCCCAGCACTACACACGCTGGATCCAGCCAGCTCTGAAAAGCCCCACCTATGACCACATGGGCTCTGGGAGGACATCTAGACACAGCCATAACCAATGTAGAGGTAAATAACACATTAGAAAAGTGGCTGGTGAGGGCTGGGGATTTAGCTCAGTGATTCCGGCGCCTGCCTTGCAAGCACAAGGACCCGAGTTCGATCCCTGATACCAAAAAAAAAAAAAAAGAAAAGTGGCTGGTGCATGACTTAATTATAATACACCAAATTCTGGTCATGATTTAAATTGTTTTTCACCATGTTTATTTGTAAATGTTTCAGGAAACTGAAGAACAACAGGCAAATCAGTGGTGATGTAGTGGGACCTTGGTACCTGTCATTAATTGGCCCCAGGAGGTGCCAGGAGTCCCAAATCAATTGTTTTGGCTGGAGAGGGTAGCGAGTTTCCAGCCAAATGACGAGTTCTAGCTTGCCCTGAGTACCAAACAAATGAGCGACGGGATGAAATTTTCAGGTCAAAATTTGGAGAACCAAATTTAATAGTTGGAAAGCAATGGAGTCCAAGCTATGACTGTATAAAATGAGGGCTCACTTTTTAAAGATGGAAACAATCTTGTTTGTCCCCCTTAGCTTTGGCTGCAGAGAAGGATGGGACACCTGTGTTCAAGTTCCCCAGATGGAGGGCCAAGGGCAGGACCGTCCAGGAGGTGGTGGAGGCCTACAGAGCCGTGGGGGCTGAGCTGAACGTGCTTCCCTTCTGCACGCAATTCATCCCCATGGACATCATCGACAGCCCCAAGCTCGGCTCCATCATCTACCACCCGTCCCTACTGCCCAGGCACCGGGGCGCATCTGCCATCAACTGGTGGGTGGTTTCCAGCAATGGACATCGTGCATCTGTTTCTGTTGCCGGTGGGCTCTGGTTTCACCTGCACGATTAGTCAACGAGTTTCGTGAGGTCTCTGTTGATTGCTCCAACTGCATCAACGCTCTTGAGATGTGCACCAATTGCAGGACTCAGGACAGCACTTCCTGAGGACCGGCTACGGGGAATTAGTTCAGAGAGCATAACTAGGTATTCAGCCAACAGAAGTTCTCTGGTCAGATAAGTTCGGCTTATGCTTAATTTCCTTGTCACAGGACTTCCCTGGGTTTTTGACCTGGGCCTTCACCGGAGCATCCTAACTTCCAAGACGGAATCTTAATGCTCCAAGTTCTCAAACTTAGCTGACCACAACACATTTTTGCATAAAGGATCTCAAGTGCATTTCAGGAAATGCTGAGCTACCGGAATTATCTTCTTCGCTGGCATCTTTTCTCATTTGACCTCAGGCTTCTTAAGGAAGGGCTTTGTCTAACATTTTATGGCTGTTTCAGGAGCAATGCCTGAAGCCCTCCAAGTGCCCACTTCCATGGGTGCACATGCTGTTGATGTGCGCTTTTTAACCTCCTCGCCTTTGTCTTCTCTGTACCCCTCAAATTGCTGCATAAGGACAAGATCTACACTTGGTTTAAATGTGATAAAAAATATTTTGTCACATTTAAAATTTGATTACACAAATTTATTTCTTTTTTACCCTTGTAGATAAAACTGCAGTGGATATCTTTGTGCTTAAATTTGTATTTTTTCTCATTTCACATTATTTCCACATCCAGAACCATTGAGTCAAAGCAGGTAAATATTTTTAAGACGCTTGATAATATAATTCTTCAATATTTCTGAAGAGTGATTTATTGAATGATTGGTTTAGGTCTTTTTTGATTCATAGTTTAGAGAAGTGAAAATGATTTTCATCATGGAAATTGCTGACCTACTACTTCATACTCTATTTTGACCTGCTCCCTGATATGTGTTATAGGTATTCCTCCCCTTCAGCATATTCTTTGTACTATATGCTCCTGTAGGGCCAAGCTAAGCTTTTCTCTTAGGCTACACTTTACAGAGCACAAAGGACAAATAGGTGGACTGATCAACCCACTTTTACTGTAATTTATGTAGACAGTCTTGAGCCCATCCTAGTCCTAAGTGAAATTTATACCTCAATTATAAAACCTAAATTAATAATCAGTTCTCCCCTTCATATTGCCCTATCTTGTTTTATTTTATTTTTCATTCTTATCCTACTTAATACAAGGTCAAATAAAATGCAGGAATTGGACGCAGGTGGAAGATTTCTTGAAACTGAAGTAGAAAGCTGAGATGTGAGAGTCAATGACTGATCGTAGTGATGGATTCTAATGCGTTTTGAATTCACTACAAGTCATTACTGTATGACAAACAAGAATAAAACATCAGTGCCATTAGGTGTTGCTTTCTATGAGCTCTGACATTTTGTAGCTATACTGTTCTTTTCTCAAGATCACTTTGTTCCTAGTCTGCTTTTCCATTGTAACTACCTTGTCCTTTAATGTCACTAATTTTTCATCTGATGACTGATTTGCTTAACCAACATTATATACTGAAACTCTACTTTTCACAGGACTCTAATTATGGGAGATAAGAAAGCTGGGTTTTCTGTTTTCTGGGCTGATGACGGTTTGGACACAGGACCCATCCTTCTTCAGCGGTCATGCGATGTCAAGCCCAATGACACAGTGGACACGCTTTATAATCGATTCCTCTTTCCTGAAGGAATCAAGGCCATGGTCAGTATGTTTATGCCATCAAGAAGAATTTAGTAAATCTCTAAAGTGTTAGGAATGTTTTTCTTTTATTAAAATTTGCCATATGAATTTTCATTAAAAATATAAAGCTAGGGCCGGGGATTTAGCTCAGTGGTTTCACTGCTGCCTGCTGTGTAGGTGCAAGGAGCCAAGTTCGAGCCCCAGTACCAAAAAAAAAAAAAAAATGGCTAAAATTATTTCATATTTAGAAATGCAGTGGAACATTTAGGGTAGAAATTGGAACTTTAAAATTTCTCAGTCTGTGATGTTGACTTGTTCCACTTAGAGCAGTGATGAAATGGATGAAATAGCAATTAAATCACTCCATTTCTTTGGCCAAATGCTTGAATCTCCAACCTTGTTAATAATGACTAATGTAAAGTACAAAGAATCTAAAGTTTTGCTATGTAATTTGGACTTCTTTGTTAGTGTTATGGTTTCTATCTAAATGTCCCCCACAAGCCTACACACTCAGAACCAGGGCTTCTGGAAGGTGATTTAATTATGAGGGCTCACAGCTGACCTGCTCATAGGGGGCCAGGCCTGGTCAGAAAAGCTGAGGCACTGGGTGCATTACCCAGAAGGGTGCATCTTCCTCCCTGGGTCCTCCTTTCCCTCTGCTTCCTGGCCTCCAGGAGGTGAGCAACTTTCTCTCCTCCAGGCCCTTCCCATGGGGGAGGCTGCTTTGGTTGTGGCCAACTATGGATTATAAACAGGAGCCAAAATAAACTTCTTCTCTTTTTAGCTGTAGGGGTCAGGTATTTTGTCTCAGTGACGAAGAAAGTGACTAAATAGTCAGCTTTCTGTTGCTGGGACAAGACACCTGAAAGAAGCACGTGAAAAGAATAAAAGATTTATTTTGGCTCACAGTTTCTGAGGTTTCAGTCCATGACTGCTAGGCGCCATCCCTCTGGGCTGTGGTGAGGCAGAACATCATGGAAGGGAGGGTTTGGGAGAGCAGAGCTGCTCACCTCATGGTAACCCAGAAGCAGAGAGAGAGAGAGAGCTGGGATCCCTTCCTTCAAGGGCATGCCCCCAGTGACTTGTTTCCCCCAACCATGCCCCAACCTCCTTTTCATCCAGAGTTTGGTAGTAGAAGCTGCAAGATTATATAGTCACTGTTGATTTAGGAGGGAAGAGGACAACACTGTTTGTGTCACTTAATGGTGAAGAGAGTAGGGCTTTGGTGTCAGAAAAACCGACCTCCAAGTTCACATTTGACCACTTGTAGAATGATGAGTTGCTCTATGACCCTAGGCAGGTCACATAGCCTCTTCAGCATGGGTTCCCTCGTTTATAAAATGTGGATAATACTGCCTGACTTGTAGGATTGTTGTGAAAATTAAATGACATCATTTGTGCCAAGCATCTGGCACAGAGCAAGTGCTCCAAGTGGATCATGATCCTCGAGATGGCGTGATGTGTGGCATTCACATGGTCTGGATGCTGCCCGCTGGCATTATAGAGAGGTGCACAGAATGGACCTCAGGTGGCCCTGTTGCCAAGGGGCTCCTGCCACGCATTCTTGGGCAGGTTGTTCATCCACTATAAACCCTGAGAGAGGGCGCTCTAGGACGTGAGCTTACACAGCCCCAGTGAAAGGGCAGCTCTCAGCACAAGGCAGACAGACACACGGCCCAGAGGAGACTGTAGGACACATCCTGAAGGCATCCAGGCTGTGGACAGATTCCAACCTTTTTCTAGGATTTCTTTTTATTAGTCCATGCTTGCAGCACATAATGTTTGCATTCCTTGTGTGGACTTGGTGCATGCATACAACACATCTTAATTCCTTTTCACCCCTTCCTTCCCCTCCCCGTCGCCTGATCCCCTTTCCCTTTGAGAAAGATCTTTTATTTTGCTTTGTTTATACTTTGGCTTCTCATATAACAGAAACCATGAGATATTTAAACTGTGTGTCTGATTTATTTCACCTCACATTATGATGTCCAGGTGCATCCATTTTCCTACAAATGACTCAAGTGTATTCTTCTTTATGGTAGAATAGTACTCCATTGTGTGTAAATACCACATTTTCTATATCCATTCATCTGTTGATGAACATATAAGTTGCTTCCAAGATTTAGCTATTATGAATTATGCTGCAAGAAACATGGGTATGCATGGATCGCTGTGATCTGATGTCTTTAACTATTTCTGGAAGATTCCTAGAAGGGGAATAGCTGGGTCAAATGGAATTTCTAGTTTTAGTTTTTTTAGGAAATCTCCACACTAATTTCCACTTTAACTTTTTCAAGTGTCCTAAGCTAGAAAGCAAGTTGAGCTAAGAAATACAGAAACACACCATGTTCTAGAATCATCATGATTGGCATAGTAATTCATGGTGGCTTATTTTATATGAACACTCTAGATTTCCAGGGAATCACCACAGAAGGGTGGTGTTGTTTAATTCCAAGAGTCTTTCTGTGTGGGGGTCTGGCATGTGTTAAGATGCATCCCCGCCCAACTAGGGAGTCACTCGTGGGAGCAGCCTTGAGACCACAGTGCACGTGCACCTAGGTGTGTGTCCTTCTGACCCCCAAACTGTCTCTGTGATCTGGAGATGTCCACTTAACTGTTCCTTAAACCACAGTTTCCTCATCTGTAAAACAGGAATAATAATATCCACCTTGCAGGACTTGTGTGATGTTTGCAAAGCATGTTTGTGTTTTTGTTTCTGAGACGGTCTCACTGTGTAGCCCAGGCTGGCCTCAAACTCACAGTGATCCTGCTGTCTCAGCCTCCCAAGGGCTGGGATTACAGGCGTGCCCCACCTCACCCAGCTTCGAGGGATGTTTTACATGAAGTGACTACCACTCTTTCTGAGCTTGACCCAGCCAGACCTGACAAGATAACAATTATCGTTACAGCCTGACTGTCTAGAGTAGCAATGGAGAAACCTTCAGAGCTTTCGATGATAACAAAGAGCCCACCGTTGCACGCTTGCCGCATGTCTGCCACCACTGCTCTAGGCATACTGATCTGAAGTAATTCGGTTAAGCATGAACAGACCAGGCCATGTGGAGAACTGGGCCGTGACACAGGTCCTGTCCTTGGCTTTAGGTGGAAGCTGTCCAACTCATAGCAGATGGAAACGCTCCTCGTATCCCCCAGCCAGAAGAGGGGGCAACGTATGAAGGGATCCAGAGAAAGGAAAACGCTGAGGTATTTACATCCACTCTGTAAGTCTTCTCCAAGCCAGTGGCCCTCTTCCTTTGCATAGCTCTGGATCGGCTCTTTCCTAGCCAGAGGGTCGGCGCCTGAGCCAACCTGCCCACCCCTCTGACTTCTGCACCAATGATGGCCCAAAAGGTAGCTGTGGCCTTGGAGACTCAGAGCCTGTGTTTGTGCTGCCCTAGATTCGCTGGGATCAGACTGCTGAAGCTTTGCATAACTGGATCCGAGGTCATGATAAAGCCCCCGGAGCCTGGGCAGAGATAAATGGACAGGTATCCCGGGGCTGCATTCCTTCAGACCAGGCGTTACCACAAAGATCTCCCCTGGGTGGGGGCTGGGGCTCCTCTCCTCTGCATGCAGCATGGACTGGGCATTTGCTGGGAAGCTGACACCAGGCACAGCCCTGGTACCAGTCCAGTGGGGAAAGCAGAGACGAGAATGAATAAACCCAGATAATGCAATAAAATAAATGCTGGCACTGAGGCTCCAACCTGAGCGTGTGGGGAATGGTTCCTGGCGGGGCTGGCTGGGTGGCTAGAACTTGGAGAAGGGGGACCAGGTGGAGAGAAAGAAAGGGGTGAGGGCTGGAGATGGAGTCCAGCACTTCCTGTGGAAGGACTTTCAAGAGGGTCTGAGGAAGCCAGAGCCCTGAGTGTGAGGAGGACGCAAGGGGGCTGAGGCGGGAGAGGTCGGCAGGGCCAGCACAAGGCACTTGTGTTCTGAGTCCTCGCAGGAGCTCCTGGCCTCCCTGCCCAGCAGGACGGGCCTGATGTCCCCCTTGGCAGCCACCCTGACCCAGCACGGTGCATGGGAAGGGCCTGTCCACCCCAGTCCTAGGCAGAAGTCAGGGCTTCCTGTTGTCTTTCACCATCAAACCCAAAGCAGGAGTCCTGGCGCACAGTAGACACCAGTGAAGCGTGTGGGTCGCCAAGTGATCATGGCAGGAAGTTTAGTGTAACTACAAAGACTGTGACATCTGAAGAAGTTTCCATTAAAATTCTGGCTCCACCACAGTTTTCTGGAACCTTAGGGAGGTGACCTAAACCCCAGGGTGCCTTGGTTTCCTTGCAGTAAGATAGGATTGATAACCCTGCCTGCTTTGTGGATTATGAGCCCCTGTGAAGATTAAATGAGTGAATGCACGCTAACGCACATCCGTACCTAGTCCCTGCAGATTAAGTGTTGGATAAATGTTAACTGTTGGAGTCCAGTGAATGCCAGCTGGTGCCCATGGGATCATAATGAGGAGCCAGTCAGGGTCACCTGTGCTTGGCTACCATCTGGATGGTCTGGTTTTCAGGAGCGGACCCTTAAGCACCAGGCCCAGTTCATCCCTTTACCGACTGACACCCCAACACCTGCACAACCCCCCAGCCCCTGCCTTCAGGCTAGGAGGGCCGGGCTTCTTGTCTCACTCACCTTTGTAAGAATCTGAATAGGAGACTAGTGCCTGTCTACTTGTGCCTCCTGCACACGCATGCACGAAACTCTGCAGTCATGGCTTGCAGACGGTCCCCTGCTCTGGGCCACCTCTGCCAAGGCTTGTGGGAGACCTCGCACTTCACTAGGGACATGATTACAGGGCTGATACTTCGGGGTCTCGATGGGTGGCCATGTGGGCTTCAGCGTGTTTGCAGGGAACACTCCTGCACCCCTCTGAACACGCCCTTCCGCTGTGACGTCCTCTGGTCTCTGTCAGACGGTGACTTTCTACGGCTCCTCGTTGCTGAACAGTTCTGTGCCTCCCGGGGAAGCCCTGGAAATTAAAGGCGCCCAGAAGCCGGGCCTTGTTACCAAGAATGGACTTGTTCTCTTTGGCAGTGACGGGAAAGCGGTGAGTGTCCCACGCGGTCATCCACGGAGTGCTCTTGGTCTCCCATGACCCCGCTAAAAGAGGGTCTCTGGCTTTGCCTAGGGTGTGGGAGGCACATGTCTGTCTGCCCCGAGGTGACTCAGGATGAGACCCACACTGCAGGGTCCACTCTGGTGCAGAATGAAAGACCAGAAGTGCCCACGGCCAGGGCCTCGCTGGACGGGCACCACCTAGTACTCCGGAGGACAGACTAGGCCTCCATGGGTGGGCAGCATCCAGGGAAGAGCAGAGAGGAATGTGTGGCCCACAGAGGTTTCCCAGCCATTAGGATCGTGGGCGTCAATGCTGAGCTAGTTCTGGGTCCACTTCGCAGCTCTGATCCTTGCACCTGGGTGGCACTGAGCAAACCGCTTTGCCTCAGTGAGCCTCCCTCTCTGCATCAGTAAAGCGGGCGTAATAATGACATCCGCGGCCCTCGGGATTTCTGAGGTGAAGTGAGATATTTCAGCGCGGCGCCATGCTGCAGGGGGGATGCGCTTGGTCTTGCTTCTGTGGTGAAAGCCGGTCTCAATCCAAGCACCAGGATCCCAGGGCCAGCGTCCACCTGGGCTTGACCTTCTCCTTTCTGCCGCAGCTGCCAAATCCATTTCAGTCCTTCTAATAAGCGTGCCGACGAGTACTTTGAACCCTTATTCATTTTGTTTTCTGGATAAGCTGGTCTTTACACCCGCATCCTGTACAAGACACCTCGCCCCCAGCGTTGCCCCCCGACAAGCCCAGTCCTCAGCTTTTCTGCTCTCTTGGTTGCTGTTTTGCAGCTGACGGTGAGAAATCTGCAGTTTGAAGATGGGAAAATGATCCCCGCCTCCCAGTACTTTTCGGGGGACGAATCCTCCACTTTGGAGCTCACTGCCGAGGAGCAGCAGGTAGCAGTGACCATCCAGGTAAGCATGGGCGCCCCAATGGCCTCCTCCCCGGAAGTGGAAGGGGAAGCGCACTGGTGACTGCTCTCTGCCTTCGCATGTGGGCGGGAGCTCGGCTTCCTGTTTGCTCCTGCGTTGCCATGGAAACCGACTCCAAAGTGTCCACGTGCATCCTGGGTGGGCTGGCGAGGTGCCAGTGAAGCGAGGGACCCCTACTCGGTCCGGGGGCGCGAGCCTGGGGAGAGCCGGGTGTGTCCGAGAGGACACGGAAGCCCAGCCACGTGCGGGTCCGTAGGCGCCTCCCTAACTCTCGCTGCCCGCCCCCCCCCCAGGGCATCTGGGCCGGAATTTTGAGCAATGTTCGAGCCATCGAAGCCTCTACGGACTTCTTCAAATCCGGAGCGAGCTCAATGGATGTGGCCAGGTAAACAGGCCCGCACTCTGTCCCTCGGCCCTGCCTGTCTTCCCCTGTGAAGTGTTCCATGGCCAGATGCGGTTACAGTATCACCTGCATCTCTCGGTTCCTAACCTGAGTGGCTTTCTGGTCTCCTTTAGACCTAGACTGCAAACCTTCTATCGTTTGCCAGTCTTAGAAATTTGTCTTTACATTTAGTAGGTGATTTTCCCTCCAGTATGATACCGGAATGGAGACTCTGCGGGTGAGAACGCTAGGGGAATTGTCTACACAGCCTGGCCGTTATTGATTGCACTTCCGCTGTCTTTTCTCTCCTGTTCCTCCAGATTATTCAGTAAGATAGATCTAGTTATCAGGCCACCTGCAAAGAAGGCATGCTCACCCTGACTTTCCCCACGAAGTCTGCAGCAGGTGGAAAGGGCCCTGGGATGAGGTGGGCCCAGTAATACCCGTATCACCTCTAGCAAGAAGAGTGCAGGACCCTAGTGTGCAGGGCCTTGCAGAAGTGCTTTTTTCTTTGGATAAGAACTTTTCTGGGATAGAAGATCCCTGGGAACTAACCAGGGGCTGCACAATCCCTGAAGATAGGTGGCACCTCAGTGGCTCTTAATCCCAGGCCATACACAAGCTAAGAATGACCCTTCCTTTGCCATGACCCTGCACACTAACTGAGCAGGCTCCTGAACATCCTACTTATTCATTCATTCACTGGCTTAGTTCACAAAATTTATTGAACACTTACTACATATCGAGACAGTTTTGGGAGTGGAGATACAGTTATAAACTAGACAAAGTCCCTTTATTCCTGGAAATTTTACTCTAAGAACTGCAAATTATCATTTCAATTACATAGTATTATCAAGAAGCAAGTTTTCTGGTTCCTCAAGTTATAGATTTCTTAGCCGGGGATGATAGCAAGTGCCTGTAGCCCCAGCACTCAGGAGGCTGAGGCACAAGGATCCTTGAGAGTTTGAGGCCAGCCTGGGCTCACAGTGAGTTCAAGTCCAGCCTGAACTACATAGCAAGACCGTCTCAAAAAACTAAAAAGCAAAACAAAAGATACCTGCAGGAATTCCTGGCTTCCTGCCGAGTGATTGCCAGTACCATCTGATGCTGTTGCCTTGATAACACCATTGGGTGTCATTGTCCTGGTAACTGAACCACCTCATCTCTTTTAAGGAATACATGGGCCAGTATGCTGGGGGCTTCCTAGTGTTCCCAGTTAGCATCAGCATTCAAGAGATGCCAGGTGACAGCTATCATTTGACACAGTAGCTGTGGAAATCAAAGGACTGGAAAGGACCTCAGAACTTATGCCCGCCTGCACTGTGGCTCTAGCGAGGCCTCCCTGGTGTGTGGGGCACACACCTCGTCTCTTTTGTTCTTGTGCAGGCAGAGAAAATATCCCGTGATGGTCCCTTGCCACCGCAGGTACAGTGGGGCAGCTGCTTTCCTTGTCACTCCCTGAGTTCACTGGAAAGGACTTTATGAGCTTTTATGGTCAGTCAAAGGACTGACTTTATGGCCCCTTGCTGTCTTGCTCATAAGTCATTCTTTTTGCCTTCCTTGTAGTTTTAGTCATGCTTAACTTTTTTTTTTTGGTACTGGGAATCAAACTTGGGACCTTGTGCTTGCAAGGCAAGCGGCGGAACCACATGCTTAACTTTTTAAGAAGAGAAATCACTGTTCTTCAAGACAGGTTTTGAGTGTCCTTGCCCCTGGCCTTATCAAACTCGGTAATGGCTGCTGACCTGAATGATGTCCCAGGATACAAACTGGTGTGAACCTGATAGGTGCTGGCAACAAGGTCCCCTGAGAGCCACCAAGAAAGGACAGTGACGTGACCTGTTCCTCCCCAAAGGCTGGTGGAAGAGATCAGACAGAAGTGTGGCGGCCTCCAGCTCCAGAACGAAGACGTCTACCTGGCCACCACCTTTGGAGACTTTGTGCAGAAGGTGGTGAGGAAGCTGAGAGGAGAGGACCAGGCAGCGGAGCTGGTCGTGGACTATGTGAGCTTCTGCTTGCTTTTCCAGCCGCCTCCTCGAGATCCGAGCCCTGTAGAGTGCTTGTGTCTTTTGACCGTTTGCTTTACATCCGTAACCTTTTACAGATAGCTTTGTTCTTGAGGTATGGTGGTGCACACCTGTAATCTCAGCACTCAGGAGGCCAAGGCAGGAGGATTACTGTGAGTTTCAGGCCAGTGTAGGCTATGTAGTGAGTTTAAGGCCAGCCTAGGCTACATAGGAAGCTGATGTGTATAGTACAGATGACTCAGGAAGCACAGAATCCACCCATTGGCTCAGTGGTTGTGGAACAGTTGGGGCTGTGCACCCGTCACCTCTCACTTTGCGGGTTTCACATCAGCCCATAGAGAAAGCCTGCAACCACTGGCAAGCATTCCATGTCCCTCTCCCCACCACCTACCCCCATTCTCTACAAACCACTAATTGCTTTTCTGTCTATGAATTTGCCCTTTTAGGCATCTCCCAGAAATAGAACCATGTGCTTTGTGACCTTTTGTGTCCGGCTTTTTCATTTAGCAAGGTTTATCTACACTGTAGCTTGTATTATTGCTGTATTCTTTTCCCTGGCCAAGTATTAGTCCATTATATGGATATACTTGATGTGCATCTGGGTCATTTCTCCTTTTTGGCTGTTAAGAAAAATGCTGTCATAAAATTCATGTAGAAGTTTTTGCTTAAACATATGTTTTCAGGTCTCTTGAGTAGACGTGGAACTCATGAATGGCATGGTAACTCCGGGTTTCACTTCGGAAGGAGGTGCCGACCTGTTTCCTGAGCGTTACACATTGGCCGGCCAGCAGGGATGAGAGCCCCGCCCTCCAAGCCCCGCCCTCCAGGCCCCGCCCTCGCTGCCCCCAGTCAGTCTCTCTCCTCCCGGAAGTTGCCGTCTCCTTGCCTTGCGCCCCGTGACTGGAGCACTCGGGTGTCCTTCCCCCTGCCGGCCGGGCTGTGTGTCGTCGAGGGGAAATGTCTGTTCCAGCCGTGTCCACCTACAGATCGGGCTGACCATGCTGCTCAGTCGTGAGAGTGCTTTGTCCATCCTGGATGCCAGGCCCTTGCCCTACGGGTCTGAGCATGTTTCCCCTCGCTCTGCGGGTGTTCTTTTCACGCTCTTGGCGGTGTCCTCACAAGCAGCGGGTCTCCATCTGGTGATCCGCTTTGTCTGCGTCCTCCTGTGTCGCCCTCTCCCTTCTCCGCGGCGCCGTGCTGTGTTACACAGACGCCGCCTAGGACGCATTTCCATCCCTCGTTGTTGCTTTTCCTGTTTCTTTTATTTCTAAGTGGGGGCCCTGAGGATTATCACTGAAAACAAGGTTTTCAGGTTAACGTCAGCGAGAGCTGGCCGCGATCCATCTGGCCCACGCCCGCTGGGCTGCGCTTGCTGCGGCGCACCCCGTCCACCAACACCGCTTTATAGTTGTGGCTCCGAACAGTGGTCTTTCATACCAGAGAGAAAAAAGTATATTTACACTGACTGCGAGATTTACGCGTGCGATTGCTTTCGCCAGTGCTTTTTATTTTTTCGCGTGCGTTCAAGGCCCTAGCTCATGTCCCTTCACTTCAACCCGGAGCAGCAGCGCGTCTTTTTCTTCTCTTGGGAATGCTTTAATTCTCCTTTATTTTTGAAGGCTGTTTGCTGTATGAAGCAGGGATTATTATTCCCATTTTATTGTTGAAAGAAACCGAGCGTCATCGGAAGCAGTTGAGTGTCTTCCTCCACTTGCAAGCTAGAGGCAGAGCCCGGGTGCGGCACTGGTCACAAAAGGTTAAGGTGGAAATAGCCCAGCAAAGGGACGCAAGGCTGCGCTTCGCGGACGCTGCCGCTAGGTGGCGGCGTCTCGGCCTCCACGCGCTGTCCACTGTCCGCAGTCCGCTGTCCGCTGTCTGCTATCCGCTGTCCGCCGTCCGCCGAGGCCGACGCAGTCTACCCAGGCGTCCAGGCCCGACTCACCCAGGCTGCATCCCTGGGCCCTGCTTCTCCTCTGCGTGGTTCTGCCTGTCCCGGCCGCGAGCCCGGGGTCCGCGGGCCCCAGCGGTGCCTCTGCCCGCAGGTGTCGAGGGAGGCGGACGGCAGGACCGTGAGGATGCCGCACCAGTGCTTCATCGGCGGGGAGTTCGTGGATGCGCAGGACGGGAGGACCTACAACGCGGTGAACCCAGCCGACGGCTCGGTGAGTGCTGGGCGATGCCTGCGCTGCGTCCCCTACACAGACAGCAACAGGGGCGCGGCCAGGTCCCCTCCGCTCTGAGAGGAGACAGCTCTGCGGACTTGAGGGTCTGGCTGCGAACTCAGCCTCCCGAGGTAGCCGGAGAAAGCACGCCTTCCTCACGGCTCCCCACAGGGGTGTGGCCAGCTAGTGCCAAGTTTCAGGCTAATAACCTTCATCTTCAGGTTGCTTCTTCTTTGCCGCATTACTGTTTGTATTACTTTTCTACCCTAAAATTCTTGGAATTCATACTTTTTCCTAGCTCGGTGTGGCGGTGCACGCCTGTAAACTCAGCACTCAGGAGGCTGAGACACGAAGATGGCTGCAAACTTGAGGCCAGCCTAGGGGACATAGTGAGACTCACTCTAAAGGAAGAAAAAAAACCGAAACACAAAAAACAATCTTTTCCTTTTTTTTGGTACCAGTGATCGAACTTGGGACCTTGCACTTGCGAGGCAGGTGCCAGAACCACTGAGCTAAATCCCCAGCCCAAATCTTTTCCTGTTAATACATTAATGTTAAGACTCACAAAAATATGCCTCTTACGTGACCTGTTTTTATTTACTTTGACATAGACTATATGCAAAGTAGCCTATGCTTCTTTGGCGGATGTCGATAAAGCAGTAGCGGCCGCAAAGGATGCCTTTGAAAACGGCGCATGGGGAAGAATGAACGCCAGAGAGAGAGGAAGGTTGATGTACAGGTGTGTTTTTTAGACAAGCAAATCTGTTACTTTGGAAACTGGCTAACAGGATTTTAGAAATTCCCACATGACCTTCTCGTGTGTGCCTGGGCTGTAATACAGCTTCTGTCACCCGAGTCTTGTGAAATAGCATGCCAGAAGCACTTGGCTCTTAGGCTGTCGCTGTGTCCGTGTTGGGGCCGAGACGGAGGCTGCTCCTCCCCTAAGGGCTAGGTCCACCCCAAGGGAAGGGCTCTGGGTGTGGGGACATGGTGACCACTGAGCCACAGCCCCTCCCTGGGAGAGAGCCAGGGAATTCCACGTCCCTCATGTCCTCCAGCCCGCCAGCCTTCTGCAGGCAGCCAGGTGGGCAGTCCACAAGGTCACCCGCAGCTCATGGGAGATGGACAGGGCTCAGCAAACCGAGCCTGTCCACGTCCTGTGTTTTCAAGGACTAATTTCAAATCCATTTGATGTGTAGGGAATTTGAGCAAGGAGAAAAGTGGTCAGGCCGAGGAAGACTATTATCCACCGGTAACGAAGGATGCCAAGAACGCTTAGATTTGGCCAGTAATTCCGTTTTCTGCTGACCGACAGCCAAGTGTCTGACCTGAGCCAGAAGAGCTCTTAGAGCGAGGTTGGCAAGAAATGCTGGAGCTGGGGTTTCAAGCCTGGCTGTAGAGAGCCAAAGCAGCTGCTGAAGGACCAGTCAGGGAGGGATGCAGACAGGGAGGGTTCGCACAGGTAGATTGGACGGTTTCCCAGTCATTCCGCACACCTGCACCTGCCTTCGCAAAGAAACAGGCACTACACTGGACTCTGTTGTGCATTCGTCATGCCTACCCTGTATTTCCATCTTGTCCTCTTCAGTTCATTTTGAAAATAGTTCTGTACCAGCCAGGAGTGGTGGCACATATGTGTAACACCAGGACTTGGGAGGCTGAGGCAGGAGAATTTCTGTGAGTTCAAGGCCAGCCTGTGCTACATAGTGAGACCCTGTCTCATAAAAACAAAAACATATTCCTGTACCAACCAGAGATCCACAAATGTTCATAGTTCTGAAGGGCTGGGGTTTCCTTCTACCACCGCCTGTGTGTTCATGAACTACCCACATTCCCACTGCCCCTACCGTCAACCCCGTGGCTCAGTCCCAGGCTCCTTCTCATGTATGCTCGGGCGAGTTCTGCCTGCTTCCAGTGCCGTGCTTTTCCTTGGAACCCCGAGGCAGTTCACTTATGAAATCTCTTGCTGAATTGCTGCCTTCTCCACCGGGCAGAGACCTGGCCCAGTTGGGTTCTGCTCTGAGTTCTGGGTTATGCACATAGCAGGGCCCCGTCAGTGTTTGTTGAACGAATTTCTTTCTGGGACATGCAGACTGGCAGACCTCCTGGAAGAGAACCAAGAGGAGCTGGCCATCATTGAAGCCCTGGACTCAGGGGCCGTCTACACCCTGGCGCTGAAGACTCACGTTGGGATGTCTGTGCAGACTTTCAGATACTTTGCCGGCTGGTGTGACAAAATCCAGGTGAGCAAAGCCGGTCTTCTTCACCCGGGAGAGGGGCTGAGGGCAGCGTGGACCAGGGGCCACCCGGACCCAGTCTGTGTAGGTCCCTCACCTACATGGCATGGTGGTCTTGGTCTGTCTCCTACTGAAAACCAGAGTCCCCGAGACTGGGTCATTTATGAAGAACAAAATTTATTCTCTCACAGTTCTGTAGGCTGAGCCAGGCCATCTCCAACATTTAGGTGTTATGAGTTGTGCTGCTAGAAACATGGGTGTGCGTCGATCACTGTAATCTGATGTCTTTAACTCTTTTGGGAAGGTACCTGGAAGGGGAGTACCTGGGTTGAATGGAATTTAGTTTTTTGAGGAATCCCCACACTGATTTCCATAGTGGTTGCACTGGTATGCATTCCCATCAGCAATGTAGAAGGCTTCCTTTCTCCCCCAAGGCCTCACCAACACTTGTTACTGTTTGATTTCCTGATGAAGGCCACTCCTTCTGGGGTAAGATGGAATTTCAGTTTTGTTTTAATTTGTGTTTCCCTGGTGGCCATCGATGTTGAACATTTCTTCTTGTAGTTAGTTATTGGCCATTGGTACTTCTTCTGAGAATGTCTATTCATTTCACTTGCCCAGTTTTTAAAATTGGGCCTTTTATTTTGCGGAATCTAATATTTTTGTGTTCTTTATATATTCTAGATGTTAATCTTCCGTCCGAAGAATATCTGGCAAACATTTTTTCCCATTCTGTAGGCTGTCTCATCATTCTGTTGGATGTTTCTTTTGCTGTCAGAAGCTTTTTTTTTTTCTGGTACTGGAGATTGAACTCAGCACCTTGTGCTTGCGAGGCAGGCGGCAGAACCTCTGAGCTAAATCCCTGGCCCTGTGCAGAAGCTTTTTACTTTGATGATTCTTGGTATTATTTCTTGTACCATTTGGGGTTCTGCTCAGAAAAGCCTTGCCTACACTTACGTCTTCAAGAATTTTACTTATTGTACTTTCCAGCAGATTAAGTGTTTCTATTTTAACTGTGAGATCTTTGATCCATTTTGATTTTAGTTTAGTACATGGTGAGACACATGGCTCTAGACTCAATCTTCTGCATGTGGAAAGCCAGTTCTCCCGGCACCATTTCTTAAAGAGTCTGGCTTTCCTCCAGTGTGTGTTTTTGGCCCCTTTGTCAAAGATTAAAGAGCTGTATGTGCCTGTGGTTGTTTTTTACTTCTTCTATTCTGTTCCCTTGATCCACATGCCTGTTTTTGTGCCAGTACCATGCTGTTCTAATCATAGTAGCTTTGTAGTGTAACTTCAAGTCTGGGATTGTGATGCCTCCTGCTTTACTCTTGTTGCCCAAGATTGCTTTTGCTATTTTGGGTCTCGTCTGAGTCCGTATGAATTTTACAGTTGTTTTCTCTAGATCCGAGAAATGCTGTTGGTATTTTGATTGGAATTGCATTAAATCTGTGTACCAGTTTTGGAAGTATGCCCATTTTGATTATATTGATTTTGCCTATCCAGGAGCAGGGGATATCTTTCCATTTTCTGATGTCCTCTTCAATTTCCTTTTTCAGTGTGATGTATTTTCATTGTAGAGGTCTTTTACTTCCTTGGTTAGGTTAATTGTTAAGTATTTCATTTTTGTTGATGCTATTGAGAATGGTACTGTTTTCCTAATTTCTTTCTCAGTGAGTTCATTATTAGTGTAAAGGAATGCTACAGATTTTCATGTGTTTATTTTGTATCCTACATTGCTGAATATGGTTATTAATTCTAGAAGTCTTGGTGGAGCATTTTTGAGTCTTGTAAGTAAAGAATCTTGTCATCTCCAAATAATGATATTTTTATTTCTTCCTTTCCTATGTGTATCCCTTTTATTTATTTCTTTTGCCTGATTTCTCTGGCTAATGTTTTGAGGACTGTGTTGAACAGGAGAGATGATAGTGGACAACCTTGTCTTGTTCCTGATTTTAGAGGGAAAGCTTTGTCTTTTTAGTTTAATATGATGTTGACAGTAGGTTGGTCATAAATGGTTTTTATCAGATTGAGGTAAGGTCCTTCTGTACCTATTTTCTTCGGGATTTTTATCATGAAAAGATGTTGGGTTTGGTCAAGGATTTTTTTCCTGCAGCTATTGAGATGGTCACATGATTTTTGTCTTTGCTTCTGTTTATTTGATGTGTTACATTTATTAATGTGCATATGTTGAACCGTCCTTGCATTTTTGTGATGAAGCCTACTTAGTCATGGTGCATAATCTTTTTGGTGATTTGCTCCATTCTGTTTGCCAGTATCTTATTGAGTATTTTTGCATCTGTGTTCATCTATGTTCTCTTTTTTGGTTGGATCTTTGTCTGGTTTGAGGCTTATGGTATTGTTAGCTTCCAAGAATGACTTTGGGATTACTTCTTCCTCTTGATTTCATTAATGAGTTTGAGGAGTATTGGTGTTAGATCTTCCCTGAAATTCTTGCAGAATTTGCTGTGAAATCATCAGGTCCTGGGCTTTTTCATAGTTAGTAGGTTTTTTTTAAATTACTGCTTCAATTTCATTACCTGTTATTAGATTTTTCAGGGTTTTTAAGTCTTCTTGGTTCAATTTTAGTAATTAATATGTACCTTGGAATCTCTTAATTTCTTCTGAGTTCTCCAATATTTTGACCTACAGGTTTGGGAAGTAGTTACTAATAATCTTCTGGATTTCAGTGGCTTCTGTTGTAATTTCACCTTTTTCATTTCTAATTGCATTGATTTATGTCTTTTCTTTCCTTTTATTGGTAAGATTGGCTAGGGGTTTGTCTCTTTTGTTTGTTCTTTCAAAGAACCAGCTCTTCAATTCATCAATTCTTTATGTTCTTAAAAAACATTTCATTGATTCCTTCTGTACAAGAACTGGATTTGGATTGTTCGTGTTTTCCTAGGACCTTGATGTGCATTGTTACGTTATTTATTTGGGGCTAACTTTGTTTTTCTCATGTGGGCATTCACAGCTATAAACTTCCCTTGTAGGAATGCATTCATTGTGTCCCATAAGATCTGCTATGTTGTACTGACATTATCATTTAATTCTAGGAACTGTCTCATCTCTTCCTTAGTTTCTTCTGTGACCCATTGATTATTCAAGAGTGTGTTGTTTAATTTCCATGTGTTTGCATAATTTCTGTGGTTTCCTTTGCCATTGATTTCTACTTCCATTGCACTTTGATCTCATGATATGCATGGTAAAATTCTGATTTTTTTGGCATTTACTTAAGCATGTTTTATCAGCCAGTATACTCGACCCTTTTTATTCTTTAGGGGTCTACGATTCCCATCAACCAGGCTCGTCCAAATCGCAACCTCACCTTCACCAAGAAGGAGCCCATCGGGTAAGGCGGGCAGAGCCCATGTGGGAACCTGTGGGCTATGCTGCTTTGAGCTGAGGGTGTCACATCTCCCCACAGTGTCTGCGCCATCATCATCCCCTGGAACTACCCACTTATGATGTTGGCCTGGAAGAGTGCCGCGTGCCTGGCTGCGGGCAATACCTTGGTGCTCAAGCCGGCACAGGTAAGCCTGGGGCGGGGTGGGAGCCCATGCGCCCCTTGCACACACCCAGGAGCAGAGAGGCACATTTGTGAACAGTGCTGTGTGAAACAAAAACCAGCTCATGCGCTGGGTGTGGTGGTGCACGTCTGTAATCCCAGAGCTCAGAGGCTGAGGCAGGAGGATCAGCATGAGGTCAGTGGAGAGAGAAAGAGGCAAGAGCTCTTACTGTAGCATGGCAAATAGTCTAAGCGTAGCCTAAGCAGAAGGAACGATGGGATTAGAAATCACCATTTGGCACCTGTCACCATCATATGAGTCAGACAGAAGCCACCAATGGACACTAAAATAAGTGGGTCCAGTTTGAGGAGTGTCTCCCCACAAAATATTATTAATTATGAAGGATAAAACTGACACGCAGTGAGACAGGCAGATTATCTTTACCAAATGATCAGAGGTGACAGCATGGCTTCGGCAGTAATTGTTACCAAAAGTGCATACTCTGAGTCTAATCATGAGGAAATGCCAGACGAATTCGGGCCGGGGATGCTGCAGGAGCTAAGTGGCCTGTGCTCTCTCAAAGGGTCAGCGCAGTGGACTCTAGAAGAAAACTCAGAAACTCTCCCAGGTGGGCCGGGACCACGGGAATAACCACGTAATGCATGAGGGTGCCTTGCTTTCGCAATAAAACACGTTATCAGAACAAGTGGTGAACTTGAACTAAAGTTTGAAATTAGGGATTCTATCGGTTGTTACTTTCCTGTTTTTGAAAATTGTACTGTGGTTATGTAAAATAATGTCATACAGAAATATTTAGAGGCAAACAATGCATATTACATGTATTACTCTTAAACAGTGCAAAGGGATAGATGATAGGTAGGTGATAAATAACAAAAATAGGTGATAAAGATAGATGATAGATAATAGATGCTAGGTGATAGATGTAAATATAGGTATAGATAGATGATAGATAATAGATGATAAATAATAGCTGATAGATGATAGATAGGTGGTAGATGATAGATATACACAGAGATAGACACAGAGATGGGGAAGAAAATGTACAAAGTTAATATCTGAAGGATCAAGGTGAAGGATACAAAAAATTCTTTGTACTTGTATTTTGGTAACCTTGCTACAAGTCTGAAATTATGTAACAATAAAAAAGAAATAATGTAAAACAACAAATGAGCTCTCACACAGGCATGCTGGGTTCTGGTGTAAAGGGGCCGAGTGTGAGGAAGGTAACCTTGTCTGCTCTCCAGGTCACTCCCCTGACAGCTTTGAAGTTTGCAGAGCTGTCTGCACGGGCTGGCTTCCCGAAGGGAGTGATTAACATCCTCCCCGGCTCAGGTGAGCCCGCAAAGCAGCCTCTGGGCTGCACCCAGGGATGGTGCGGGGATGTGAGCGGCTGTTTTCCTGCTAGAGCCTTAGCCTAAATTATAGCTATCATAAAATTGAACACTGCTTAGCAAGAGGCACTGTGCCAGCCGTGGGTGCAGAACTCAGAGCATGGGGGTAGGTGGGTGGAGGCTATAGGACCCTGTGGCTCCCCTGGGTCCATCTGGACTTTCAGTGACTGCTGTGGGCCACACCCTGGCTCACCCATCAGTGTTGGGGTGCAGCTGGCAGCTGCATGCAGGATGTTATTTTAGATTTTCAGCAGTCTGTGATTAATATATAAAATGCAAAACTGAGATTGAAATGAAAGCTTAGACATCTGGATTCAAGCCATCCTCACCATTGGACCTGAGCTGTAGCTTCCTTCCTGTTTGACCTCCGTCCTGCAGGGGGCGTGGCAGGACAGCGCCTTTCTGAGCATCCTGATGTCGGCAAACTCGGGTTCACCGGTTCCACTTCCATTGGCAAACAGATCATGAAGAGGTACTGGTTTCACTGGGTCAGTTTGCTGCAGACCCCTCTCACATTTCTGCTTTTGTTTAAACAGAGCACTTTTGGGGTCAGAAAAACCTTATCATTTGTAGAAGAGAAATCTACTTCTTGCTGCTGGATATTAAAGTACTTGAATGTAATAAAAGACTTTCCAAAGCTTTAAAGAACACTGTTAGTAAAACCAGAGCTCTATTGAAATCCTACCCCCTACTGGTAGCTTTTGCAATCCAACGAAAAAATTGTTCTGTGCTGAAGATGCAGCCCTGATTGTTTTTGGAGCATAAGTTAAGAAACTGAAATGATTTCTATCTATATATGACAAGTCTGGATTACTTATAAAGTGAATTCTGAAGCTGGGGACAGTGGGACACACCTGTAATCTCAGCACATGGAAGGCTGAGGCAGGAGCACTGCCACAAGTTCCAGGTTAGCCTGGGCTACACAGAAAGACCTTGTCTCAAAAAACAAAAACAGGGCTAGGGATTTAGTTCAGTGATGCCTTGCCTGCCTTGCAAGCACAAGGTCCTGAGTGTGATCCCTGGTACCAAAACGAACAAACAAAACAAAACAATCCTCAAAATACAGTAATACTAGTTTTTTAAAAATTGCTAATATTTAAGTTTCCAAAATAAGACATTAAAGTATGTCAACATGATAGAACACTATAGTCACATTCATCAAAAATGTTTAATAACATTGAAAATTGTTGTTCAAGTGATAAATTGAGAGAAAAATAAGGTGTAAAATTGTCTATGTTGGGTAATTCCCAACTGTGTTAGACAAGGTATAAGCTTTGGTAGGATGCAGACCAGAAGTAAGTATATCAAAATGGTGAACGCAGTGATCAGGGAGCCATGTGATGCAGTTTTGTGATTTTGTGATTTTTTTCTTCTGTCTACATTTCTGAGCACATAGACAACACACTTCTGAAACTTGCCATCCCAGCCTCCAGTGTTCTAGCATCTGGCTAGAGACTGGATTTCCCTGCCAGGCCATACAGAACCCGAATTCCTAAAGAACCCAAGTTCTAGAAGCGCCTCTAATTGTTTGAGCCCAGAATTAGTAAACACCTGTGTCTTGTGGAAAATGTGTACACAAAGCACACAGTGAATCCCATGCTCTCAACACCCAGCTGCAGCAGAAATCACTGCTCTACTGTGCAGGTTTTGGGCCGGTACATTTCTTAACGTTACTGAGGCCAGTTTGCTCTGCCCAGTGGTGACATGGCTGGCGGGGGGCGGGGGGGTGCTGGGGTGTAAATGCTCATTTCCGTGTGTTTCCCTGCAGCTGTGCTGTGAGCAACCTGAAGAGAGTGTCCCTGGAGCTGGGCGGGAAGTCCCCACTGATCATATTCAGCGACTGTGAGCTCAACAAGGCCGTGCGAATGGTGAGTACAGGTCACACCCGGTACCAGTGACTGCCCGGGAATCCACTGGACTGAAAATGAAATCCCACAACTGGAAATCCTTTTCATACTAAGAGCACTTAATTTAAAAAATATTTTTATAATCCCTCCAATTTTGAAAATAAGATGTAAGTCATAGCAAGCATATCAAAAAGTCTAGAAGGCCTTCTAGTGGTGCTTCTGGCTTCTTCCTCCTGACATCTTACCCTTCAACTTGCTTTTGTCTGTTTTACACATCAAGCTCTGGCAAGAGCATTAGACACAGCACAAGCTTCTCTGCTTAAAAAAAGAAAAAGGAATTGCTAGCCAGGCACAGTGGCACATGCCTGTAGTCCCAGCCCTTGGAGGCTCAGGCAGGAGGGTCACTTGGCTGGCCTGGGCAGCAGAGTGAGATTTCGTCTCATTGAAAAAACAAGTGATTGGCAACATCACTTTTCTGGTTTTAACAGTGTCGTTCTGTAAGATATTACAGAGGAAGCTGAATGGAGGGTGATAGGAACTCCTATTTTTGTTTTGTTCTGTTTTGTTTGGGCATTTTGAGACAAAGTCTCGCTATGAAGCCCAGGCTGGCCTCGAACTCCTGGTGCTCTTCCTGCCTCAGCCTCCTCAGTGCTGGGATTATAGGGACGCGCTACCATGCCTGGCTTGGAACATCTATGTTTTTGCAATACCTGTTTGTCTCAAATGCTAAAACCTTATTTTGAACTGAACTTGAAGACATTTAGGCCAGTCTTCATTCTTCATCTCTGAGACGCAGGCGCACACTGAGCCCTGGAGAGCTTGGGCTGTGCTGGGCTCCTGGTACTTCTGGGGGGTAGGGGGTGTGATGTCCCTGGTTCCGTGCAGTGAGCGAGACACGGTCACTGCCCCCAGCTGTGGCTGAATGCAGACTGCAGTGTGCAAGGCCCAGGGAGGGCGGAATGTCCCAGGGCCATGTGGAGCCAACCCTCCTGGGCCAGGGCCTGCGGGTGACCCGTTGGGAGGTGTCAGTGGCAGACAAGGGCTGGGGCATCCATGCTGACATCAGGTTGGGGCTCCCCTGGACATCTGGATTCCCTTCCAGGGTCTCCTGGAGAAAAGGGTGGGAAAAGAAAGAGAGGAGAGAGATTTGTTCCTTCACCGTGCTCTGTTACATATTTAAAAGCACCAAATCTACACTCTTGATTGCATAACATGAATAAAAAGAATGACCCCAAACTGCCAAGGGTGACATCACTGTAGGTGCGCAGAGAATAACAGGGCCATGACTGCAGAGGACGTTCTTTGCCTTTCTCCAGCATTGAAATTCACAACCAGGGAGGCTGGTTTTGGCCACAGTTGGACTCTGTGGGAGAGGAACACACAGGACCCTGCCACGGAAGGCCTGGCGCACATGGGAGATGCGTGTTGTTTCCAAGCACCTCTTATACTTCTTATCCAGTTTCAGGTTTCCTGGGAGTAAGTTAGTGATTGGATTTAGTAAAGAAAGATGCACAGATTCTAAGTCTTCATAGTCTGTCATTTTTTGACTGGCTTCATTTCAGAGATTTTGAAAACTTACTGAAAGATAAATTTCCCTTTTCAGGGGGAAGGGAAGCTTTCTAAACATTTGTGATTTATGCAAATTAATGTAGAAACTTTATTCATTTTTTTTTTTGAGACAGGGTCTCACTGTGTACTTCAGGCTGGCCTCAAGCTCATGGCAATCCTCCCGCCTCAGCCTCCCGAGTGCTGGGATTACAGGTGTGCACCACCGCACCTGGCTATGTTGCAGGGATTTTTAAAGCAACATAACATGCACATATTACATTTATTTTTATTTTTATTCTTTTGGAGACAGGGTCTTGCTATGCAGTTCAAGCTGGGGTTGAACTCACTATGTGGCCCAGGGTGGCCCTGAACTCATAGCAGTGCTCCTGCCTCAGCCTCCTGAGTGCTGGGATTACAGGCGTTCGCCCCTACACCTGGCCATTACATTTAAATTTATAGCATTAACATGGTTTTCTCGCAGCATCTTGGGTGGCCTATCCTTGTTACCACACACTTTTTTAATGCTCATGGACCGCAGCAGGTCACGTCAGAGCCGCGAGTATCCCAACAGTGCTCATCACTGCCAGACCAAGGGCCCCTGTGACACCCTGACATTGTCTGCTGGCCTGCAAGTGACACCCTGTTCTCCGTGTGTACAATTTCACAGCGACCTTGGCCCCCAAGCTGGGGTAACACTGTCTTCTCTCCTGCTGCCAGGGCATGGGCGCTGTCTTCTTCAACAAGGGAGAGAACTGCATTGCGGCCGGGCGGCTCTTTGTGGAGGAGTCCATCCACGACGAGTTCGTGATGAGAGTGGTGAGGGCTCCAGCGTAGCAGCCGCTTCCACATGAAAAGCACCCCTAGCGTTACTCATGAATTCTTCGGAGTGGTAACATTATGGTTGTGCGTGGTTAAAAAACAGTGCTGGCAGGGAGTGTAGCTCAGTGGTAGAACACGTGGCTTAGCACACACAGGGACCTGGGTTCAGTCTCCATCACAGGAAAGAAAGAAAGAAGCCCTTGTTTTCTACACCTGCATCGTGCCATGTTTCCAGGTTAGAGTATTTAATGCCTGCAGTTGCTTCACAATAGCCCGGTGGGGGAGGACGTGGTGGGACTAAGTTGGCCATGCATCGGTAGCTGCTGACACTGGAGGATTCACTGTATGATTTGTCTACTTCTGTATTTGTGTTTGAGATTTTTCATAGTAACAGATATAGGTCTCTATAAAAAAGCCTTTGTAAAGTAGGCTTTAAAGCTGTTAGTGTGACACCTTGCTCTGCAGTTGTGACATATTAAGACTCTTGTGAGAGACTCCTGCCTGATTATAAATCCCTAAATCGATTATGAGCTGCGTGGCTACATCCTTTCCAATCTGTTTGCAGTTAACATGACAGCATATAATTTTTCCACTAAAGTAACAAATTAATAGCCCCTGTAGATGAATCACAGGTCCATAAATGCAGGCCTGGAAGTCACTATAGGACGATTGAGGTGAGCTCTGGTGGAACCCTTCAAGTTCCCCTGCCTTGTGCCATTAGGAAGGTAATAATCATGAGCTTGCTTCTGTCAGCAGAACTAGCCTTGGCTTCCCCTCCCTGAGCCACTTTCCTACCCCTGGGCCACCAAAGAACCAAGAGTTTCCTTCCTCCTGGGGAGGAAGTTGGGGAACAAGGAAGTCACAGAGCGGCAGGTGGCGGGTGATCCAGTGGGCAGTGCCACCTCCATGACATCTGAGAGTCATTTTGTTTGTGTCTCATAAAATCCACTCGGCAGCAGCACACCGTGGGCTTTCACGGTCAGTGACACCGTGGTGAAGTTTCACCTGCTGAGGCAGAGACCTCAAGGCATTGGTGGATCAGTCCATTGGCAAACACACGGGCACACATGCTTTGGTATTCACTCAACAGTGATTTCTTGAGCTTTTGCTTAGTACCACTCACTGTGCTGTGCTGGGTGCAGGAACACAAAGGACAGAGCAGATGTGGTGTCCTTGCTGCACAGGGCTCTGCTGGGCACTGAGAGACCAGGCCAGGCACAAGCTCAGGCCTTGCAAGGCATGGCCACTCCCCATCTTTCTTCTTAGAAGTGGACTTATGGCCACTGGGTTCTGGGATTCCACAGCCTCTCTCTAGGTTCTTGGTGTCCTGAACAAAGAGCTGGGCCAGACACATGAAAAAGACAGCTAGGCTTTACATTTATTAAAGGTGCAAAAGAAGTAGCCTGTGCAGAGTAAGAGCAGACCACAGGGAGAGCTCACGGTGGCCACAAGGCTAATGGTGACCATCTTTGGTGTCCTTCATTCTTCAGACCAACATCAGATCCAGGCTGTCCTACCAAAACTTGCTTGATCTGAAAATAGAAAAATTGAAAAAAGCACTTTCTCTTTGGTCCCAGGGTAGAGCTGGGGAACTGGGTTTTGAATGCCTGTGATTGATAGGCCACACCCACTTGCTCAGCCTGTTGGCCTTGCCCTAATCTCCTGCCTCCTTAGCATCAGGAAATGAAGAAATGGACTAGGAAGCAATCACAAGAAGGCAATGACCACTGTTGGATAAAGACTGTTGCTCATCAGCGCATTCTAGCAAGGCTTTGGTGTGGTCTGCCAGAAGACGTTAACAGGACAGTCTACCACACTTGAAGGGGGAGGAAACAAAATAAAGTGGCCATTCTAGAAATGCTTTTGCCGTGAAGAGCATATGTATGCCTGCCACACTAATGAAGATTGTGCAATAGCAATTGGCTACTTTTGTGGATTAATGTTCAGGATAACTTTAATATGGAGTTTATATTCTGTTAGAACAAAATAGACAAGACCTTTTACTTTCAAGACCCTGGGCTATCAGCTAGGTGTGGTGGCACACACCTGTAATTCCAGCACTGTGGGAAGCTGAGTCGGGAGGATCACAGGTTTCAGCCAGCCTGAGCAACTTAGCAAGACCTGTCTAAAAAATGAAAGAGAGAGAGAGGCTGGGGATGTAGCTCAGTGTGAAGGCCCTAGGTTCAATTCCCAATATGACAAATGGAAAAACAACAAAACAACCTTGGGCTTCCAAAACACTGTGTAGTGGTCCTGGTACAGTGCGTGATGAGAGAGTCCAGATTCCTGTGTACAATGAGCAAAGGATTTAAAATACATACCTGATGGTAAAAGAAAAAGCAACTACATTTATTGAAGGTAATGGGGAAGGTGCACTCAGCATGGCTGGGGATTGGAGTGGTACCAGGTGCCGGGGAGATTAGGAAGGAATATAAGCCAGGCTTTTGGGTTTAAAAAGATGTGTGCCCTGCCTAGGGCACCTCTCATTGGATCTCTCTGGATATGATTGACAAAAATGATCAACAGTGTTCTCAGTCACCTAGAGGGTTTCTCATGCACATGCCATTCCCATAATTCACTCTGTCATAATTACATGTGTGACATGTAGTCCCCATGTAGAACGCATTTGTGAATTTTGAATTATGAAGAACTTAATTCATTATAAAGCACTTGATGAATTTCCAGTGGGAAAGGTCATTGTAGGTCAAGCCACCGTATCTAACACGCATATGCTCTGGCCTGGAGCTCAGAAACTCTCTGGGTCTCTGAGGAAATCAGAGGGAATGGGTGGCCCTGGGGCTGCCCAAGTTCAGGAGAATGGAAGGGCAGTGGTCCCACTTCCCCAGCTGTGCTGTCTGCCTAGTTCTGTGCACTTGAGCAAGTCACTGGGCCTCTCTGTAAGGTGGAAATCATCCCTACCACCATGCTGCTGTGTATCCCAGTGGGGACACATCTGCACACGGCTTAGCACCACGCCAGATGACAGTGAAGCCAGGGGTCCATTATCAGTATTAACAGTGAATTGTGTGACCCACAGGTGGAAGAGATTAAAAAGATGAAAATTGGCGATCCACTTGACAGATCTACGGATCATGGGCCCCAGAATCACAAGGCCCATCTGGAGAAGCTGCTGCAGTACTGTGAAGCCGGAGTGAAGGAGGGGGCCACCCTGGTGTATGGGGGGAGACAGGTCCAACGGCCAGGTAAGACCCCTCGGAGGGTGACGAGTGCCTCCTCTTCAGTTGGAATCAGTGGTCATGGTTTTCATCTTACTGCAAAAGTAGACAGTGGCGTTTATAATATGGTCAGAAGAATGAATTGCCATTCCTGTCTACACTCACAAGCTGTGGCACCTTATATAACACAGCTTTTCTGTCCTCTGTCACGTGAGATGAAATGTGAATCCCCTACTTCACAGGGCTGTGCAGAGGTCACAGTGGACAAGGCAGGCCCTCAGCTGTCATGTACTGAGTCACTGTCCATGGGGCCTGGTGATCATCATTCTGGTACTTTGAGATTTAATCTCAGCCAGCCCCGGCTGGGAAGGGTTTCTTCCTGTTGAGGGCAGCCCTGTTACTGAGGTCTGCAGGTGGCTCAGTGTTACAGCTCTTGAGGGAGAGGCAGAGACTCGTTTTCCCGTAGACCATGCACCAGCACCTTGTTCTGAACACTGACTTGTAATTATAAGAAAAATTGGGATTCCCCGTATTTCCTGTATGAACTGAATTTCTGGGTCACTGAGTAACCCATAAAGGAGATTGTGTTTTACAGAAGAATCTCTGCAAATTAATGCAGAAAAAAATGACCGAAGAAAGTCACCATTTTTGTGTCTCTCTGATGTGACAGATGGAAAAGTTGATTCTGGAAATGACGGTCGATGGGGGCTGATGTGGTTAGGCAAGTGGTGGACAGGGACCTGGTATCTACAAGGTACCAAGGCACCACCCCGAGGCTGCTTGCCGGTCCTGAGAGGAAAGCACAGCCCCACAGTGGAAGGGTCAGGTTGTCCTCACCCGAAGCTACTGGTCAGTCTGAGAGCCAGTCCAGGAGGCAGCTGGATATCGTGTTTGTCCTGGGGGACACGTGTGTAGCGCAAGGTAGCAGCCATGATGTGTTCTCGCCGGAAAGACTTAACCCGAGTATAATCGCACCATCCGAGGTCAAACCTCCGATTTATAGGGGGTGGGGAAGAAGGTAGGAAGTTATTGTTTAACGGGTGCAGAGTGTTGGAGATGGACGGTGGCCAAGGTCTCACCCCATTGTGAAAACGTTTATTAACAAAGAGCGGTTCGCTTAGACTGGTAGATGGTAGATTTTACATTGTATGTAAAAAAGTGAAGAAAGAAATATATATATGGCATAGAGAAACAAGTACCACCCCAAGGAAGGAATGACAGATTTAAAATGTGAGACATGCTACTGGACACCTCCCCCTTTTTTATGCCTTCAAGAAGTCATGGCATTAAAAAAATAAACAGAGGCAAAGCCAGAAATATTCAGATTAAAAGACATTCGAGAAATCTAACCACCAATGTGTAGAACTTATGTGAATTCTAATTCAAACAAACTCATTGTAAAAAAAGACATTTTCAAACAATAAAAGTAAAGCCAGGGCTTTAGGTCAGTGGTGCCACCACCTGCCTCGAAAGCGCAAGGTCCCGAGTTCGATTCCCGGTACCCCCCAAAAAAAAGACTTCCTAATCTTTAAGAACCAAGAGAGATTATGTAAAGGTGCACATTTCCAATGATGAATGTCAGTATATTGTATACCTAAAATGTACCAATAAAATTAATTTAAAAAACAATAAAAGTAAAAATATAAACTACAAGTAAAGAATGAGCATAAATTTTGTTCAGTGTGATGCCATATTGTGATTATATAAAAAAGTCCTGATTTTTAACTGATTTGCATTGAAGTACTTGGGAGTGAAAATTACATTGGGATCTTGCTTTAAGATATTTCATCAAGGTCAAGGTAAATCAAACACAGCAAAACACGAATATTTATTTTACTATTATATTATTTTAACTTTTACACATATTTGAAATTTTCATAATGAATACATTAAAGATAACCTAGGAATCCCAGGGCTCAGTAGAGATGTGAACCTTGTCTTGGCTTTCCTGAGCCAGAGGGAAACTGTAATGTAATTAAATGAAAGAACTATTGATTAAAAATGATTTAACCTATAATTGACATTCTTTACTTTTTATTTCCGAAAAGGCTTTTTTATGGAACCGACTGTGTTCACAGATGTGGAAGACCACATGTTCCTCGCCAAAGAGGAGTCCTTTGGACCCATTATGATCATTTCCAAGTTCCAAAATGGGTATGTTCTTCAGGCACAATGGAATTAGATACCCCCGCCTTGTCCTGTTTGAAATCAATGAATGTGTCATTCTCCATCCCAGAATAATTAGCTTAATTGTATAATTAGAAGCATCTGTTTTTGCTGACCGGTTGTAGAACCTAATATATTTTTGCTTCTCACTTTACACTAAATGGCTGACATGATGCAGCTGACTAAATTTTAGTTTTTGTGCAGGCAACCTTTGAAATGTCTGTGGTCCAAGGCAAAATACTGAGAACAAACAGGGTTAGTTTTCACATTTATATTTCTGTGGAAAATCTGATTTTCCCAAAGAAAGGGAGCCACTATCATAGAAGATTATGCCCCCAGAAGCCTGATGCTCAGCTCTTTATAGACATGATCAGCCAGACATGGTTGTGATCCCAACACTGGGGAGGCTGAGGCAGGAGGATCACCATGACCTTGAGGCCAGCCTGGGCTACATAATGAGTTCAAGACCAATCTGAACTACATAGCCAGACCCTGTCTCAAAAAAACAGGAAAAAAAGTGTCCATGGTCACTATGAACTGTAAATGCTATGCTGGTTGTCATAGGACACAAAGCTGTCCCTTGTGTTCACTGTGTGGAAGAGGACCATGTAGTAACTGAGCTCATGAAACTGAACTCGAGGGAAGACTGCACAAAATTCTCTAGAATGGCTTTGGGTTTCCTTCACCAGTAATGAGTTGGAAAAGAATGAATTCAAAATTTGGAGAGACTCCTAGACATGGATAGACACAGTTGTCAGATTTGTGAGGAGCTGGGCGGTAGCGAGGAGCCTTTGTCACACTGACCCAAGGACGCCTGCCACCGTGTTGCTGTCATTGTAAATCCCGTGAAGGACAACCTGGGTGTTACACGTACAGACCTCTCGGCTGCATTTTGAGGCTCCCATCCTCATGGAGCTCTCCTTCTAATGAGGAGAGGAAAGAGTGGGAAGTCAGGGTTGGCCACTGGGGAGATTGGGCCCTCTCCCTCCTTCCTTCCTCTTGGAGCACCAGCCAGTTTTTTCTCTTGAGAAACTTGAGTTAATAATCATGTCTACCTTCTGGGGCCATTCTGAGGATGAAGGAAGTCAGCATTTTCTGGCCGCTGTCACCACGATGCTTGCTGTGATTCTAGTGCACCACAGAGCTATAGCATGACAACAGTGCTCAGTGGGATGTCCTAAGCCAGCTTTCTGCCTCTGTCCACTCTGTAAATGTGCGTGTCCCTACCGTGTGCAATGCATCCAGACGTGTGAGTTTGACGAATCTTGGTTCTTTCCAAGTTAGTTTGCAAATTTCCTGTGCAAGTTTGAAACTGTGTACATTTCAGATGACCTCTGTATATCCTCCAGCAGGCACTGTGGTGAGACCCATCCTGTTTCTCCACAATACACCACAACTCCTTTTCCCTCTAGTCTTGGAACAGACTGTCTTTCGTGGGGCAGCAGATAGAACATATGGCTGGCATTCTGTGGCCACATTTCAGAAAATGCGTGCATTTTTAAGCATTAGGTGTACACTGAGAAGGAGACAGGCTGTAGCAAGCTCGCTGGACCTGGGCTCTCCTCCAACTTTCAGACACACACTGAGCTGCCCTCCCATCCCAGGTCCACATCTGCAATCCAGCCAAGCTCAGAGTGGCAATATTTAAAAAAATTGTTATCTGTGCTGAACGTAGACAAACATTTTTGTCATTATTCTGTAAACAATGCAATACCACAATTATTTATATCACATTTAATTGTATGCTACTGTATAATGATCTAGAGATTCTGCGAAGTATATAGCAGGATGTGCACAGGTTAGACGCAAAAGCTGTGCCCTTTATAAAGGGACTAGAAAATGAGAGCATCCACACATTTAGGTATCTACAGGGGTCCCAGAACCACTCTTTCAGACACTGAAGGACAAGTGTATATGAGGTCAAAAGGCAGAGAGATGACCATGCCTCTTTAAGGGATTACACTGTCCTCCTTTTATTAAATAAGCATATGTTATCAATGCCCTCTCACTTGATGACAGGACATCATGGTATAAGATGTCATGTTCTCTTTATCCTTTGGGAGTGCCCATCCTCCAGTTTAGATAAGGCAGATCATAAACACAGGAACTGCAGAGCTTGCTATACCTAAACAGTGAATTTGGAGGAACGTGTTCCTGTAGTAGAGCTGACTTCCATTGAGCACCTGCTGTGCTCCCAGCACCATTAGCTCATTCCATCTTTGTTGTGCTGAGATGAGTCCTTTTGTTGTTTCTGTCCCCCTCACCCCGTAATAAATGAAGGGAAGGGGCAGTGGCAGCATCTGGCAGGCTCACCAGGTGGCTGCTCAGGCTCCTTCTCCCTCTCCTCTGCCCTGAACTAGTGAGGCCCTGACACCCCAGGGGGGAGCCAGAGAGCAGAACCCAGATGTGGGAGGAACAGGATGCTCCAAAAGTCCCAAAGTGGGGCACAGAGGAGAGGGGAGGGTGGGAAAGGTGTGCTGGATAACCCGGAAAAAGACTGCAAGATGACATTAGATTTGATTTTAAAAGGCATTGCACAGGGCCAGGGATGTAGCTCAGTGGCATTGTGTCTGCCTTGCAATTGCAAGGTCCTGAGTTCTATCCCCAGTACCAGAAAAAAAAATTTACTCATAAAAGGCATGCATGATAGATACAGACAAACTGAACTATTACAGTTATGATGTTTCCCTGGGGCTTTCAGGGTCAGCTGGGGCATTTTGTTTATATACATTTAGGCAGGTGGCAGGGAAATTTTCCTGGCTCTATCCCAGAGAGGAAAAATGTTAGAACATACAGTGGAGCACTTTGAATTACATTGAATGAAGTTTTTATTTTATTTTAATTTTTTGTTTTTTGAGACAGAGTCTGGCTATGTAGTCCAGGCTGGCCTCGAATTAACCATGGAGCTCAGCCTGCCCTCAAATTCACAGTGATCCTCATGCCTCAGCCTCCTGAATGCTGGGATTACAGGTGTGTGCCACCACGCCCAATAGTATTTAATGAAGTTTTCTTGTCTTCCCTAAAACATCTTGCAGGGACATTGATGGTGTGCTACAGCGAGCAAATAACACTGAGTATGGTTTGGCCTCAGGGGTTTTCACAAGAGACATAAACAAAGCCATGTATGTGAGTGAGAAACTCGAAGCAGGGACCGTGTTTATTAACACATACAACAAGACCGACGTGGCGGCCCCGTTTGGCGGAGTAAAGCAGTCTGGCTTTGGGAAAGACTTAGGTAAGGAGGGTCTGCTTGCCTGCCACGCATCCCTGTTGCCACATGGCAGAAAACCCCCTCATGGGCAGTTCTGAAGGGCACTTCCTGCCTGGCAGTTATATTTGGACTCATAAGGGTACTGCCTTTTAAAAAATGTTAAACAACAGCTGGGTGTGGTGGTGCATGCTATAATCCCAGCACTCAGGAGGCTGAGACAGGAGGCTCTCTATGAGTTTGAGACCAGCCTGGGGTTCATAGTGAGCTCAAGGCCACCCTGAACTACGAAGTGAGACTCATAAGAGAAAAAAACCCCAAATAAATAGATAATCTGAGAAGCACTCTGGCCACATTCCACCTCAACTATCCAGCATCTGGTCACAGCATACCACCTTTGAACACAGTTCTTCAACTGCTCTTCTTTTCCCTAGGTGAGGAAGCCCTAAATGAATACCTCAAAACCAAGACAGTAACGCTGGAGTACTAGGCAGTGTGGTTGCCTGGAGACCTTGGCTTCTCACCTGTCCACAAGAGGCAGGAGGGCCCAGCCACAAGCCTAAAAACACATCCGTGGTGGACAGGGAGGGCCAGGCCACTATCAGCATTTACACATGTGCCTGGGTATTATCTGATCCACATTTCCTACCTTCAAGTGATCTGCAGTTGATGAGTTTGACTGCCTTGTATGGTGCGCACATTTCTAAGACACCCACGTACCTTTTCCAACAAAGACTCACCGACCCCTGGTGTCCACTTGAAAATGTCAGCCTCTTGCAGCTGGATGCACATGGTGCCTTTGTCAGACTCTGTGTGCCTGCAGGTTTTAACATCTGAGCCATAGATGTGGGTTGTGAAAAGGCTTTTCCACAATGCTACTTTCCAGGAGCAGTCAACCGGAAGGGTTGTGAAGGCGGTTCTGATTTTGTATTGGGTTAAGATGCGTCTTTGTGCCTTTGCTGTTCTGCTTGTTAATCCTCATGCTGGATGACTGGCCCACAAATACTGCTTGAGTATTTACCTGCCAGAGAGGTGCTGTTTACCTTCTGAGTGTACAGAAATTAACGACATGATCTTTGGCCCCGTGTGGTTTAAATTCTAGCAAACAGCTTTTAAAGTGAATTTTACAGTGAGATAAAGAACAGAAAGCCTCTGAAGGCTGAACTAGATTCACAGCAGGCCATTCCACCATCTGTGCAACTCTGGGAATCATTTAGGCCGCATCTCAGAGCCCTGGCTTCCTGTGTGTACTACAGGGATGGGAAGTCTTCCTCAGAGACTTACGACGAATATTCAAGGCAATAATGTTTTTCTCCATCACTATTTTAAAAATCTACTAAGATACGTTGGCTACCTAGATGGCTTAGTCTTCCATGCCTGCTTTCAGTAATCGTGAGTTCATACACTGTTTTTCTCCTCCATCCATTCTCCCAGGGCAGCAGGAGTCGGGGAACGCCATGGCCTGACAAGAAGGCGTGGTGTCAGAAGGGTTGATTTTCCTTCGGCAGCTTCCTGTCCTTCAAAGGACCTTTCACCTCTCATGTTTCTACCCTTGGCTCTGCTGCCTCCTGGCTGTGTAGCCCGAGCAAGTTAGTTACACATCATAGTTCTGAAGCTAGGGTGGGGGTCTGTGAAAGGGAGGCAAAGCCCCCATGTCCCTGGGTGCTGCCTGGATTCCAGGAGGTAATGGACACAACACACTTAACACGGTGCCAGGGCTCAGTCACTGTGGGGCTCAGGACATTTCCCCTGTCAGGAAAAAGTGGGTAGGCAAGTAGGTTCCCACCACTGACCTGTGACACAGCCACAAGGGGATTTCCGGAATCACAGAAGATTCCCGGAAATGGCCGGCTCAATTAACTCCTATTAGTCCTCCTTTAAAAGTACATTTTCAGGAAGCATTCTTATTTCTCTGGCTTTGAAGGAGCCCCTGGGGAGTGCTCATTACATAGAAGACTCGGGGAATCAATAAACAACAAAATGACAGCGGAAAACCTTCTCAAAGGGAAGGATACCGGCTTGGATCCTGGCAAGATCAACAGAAAATTCTGCCTAAGCTTGGAGCAGGGCTGCACAGTCTAATCCCAGCTACTCCTGAGACTGAGGCAGGAGACCCCAAGTGTGAGGCCAACCTGGGTAACTCAGCCCTTTTAAAAAAATAAAATAACAACAAATGAACTGAGTTGGGACATGGCTCTGTGCAAAGGCCTTGGGTTCAATCCCTAGTACAATAAAAAAAATTTGTGTTTGCTGACAGTATTTTTTATTCTACTGTAGCTCATTTACCATCAGAGATTCCAGTCGGAATGAATATTCACCGGACCAAAATGACATGGCATATTTAATAAGATCGCAAAGGCCTGATGATGAGCAACTGCTTTTCGGT